GGGGAGTGTCTGGAAAGCTGCCCTGTGGAAAAGGACCTGAACACGAGCCAAGGTGTGCCCAGGGGGCCACAGCGGCTGATGGCACCCTGGCCTGGATGAGCACTGGTGTGGCCGCAGGACCAGGGCAGTGATTGTCCCCCTGCACTGGTGAGGCCACACCTCGAGAGCTGTGTCCACTTCTGAGCCCCTCCCTGCAAGAAGGACATTGAAGGGCTGGAGCCTGGCCAGAGAAGGGGCTGGTGAAGGGTCTGGAGCACAAATCTGATGAGTAGCTGAGGGAGCTGGGGGTGTTTAGCCTGGAGAAAAGAAGGCCCTGGCTCTTGTCCCCCTCTACACCTCCCTGAAAGGAGGCTGTAGCCAGATGGGGATTGACTTTTTCTTCCAGGGAGCAAGGAAATGGCTTCAAGTTGCACAAGGGAAGGTTTACGCTGGATATTAGGAAAAACTTCTTCATGGAAATAGTGGGCAAGCTTTGGAACAGGCTACAGGGGGAAGTGGTGGAGTCACCATACCTGGAGATATTTTTAAAAGTGTAGATGTGGTGCTTAGGGACATGGCTTAGTGATGGACTTGGCAATGTTAGACTTGCATTTGGACTCAGTGAACTTAAAAGTCTTCTCCAATCTAAATGATTTTATGATTCAAGACTGGGATTTTTTTTTAAGGTTAGATGACATTTTAATTTTAAAATAAAATGAAAATAAAATAAATTAAGCATTACTGAACTGCCACATGTGACAAGCCTGCTGGCTTGTCAGCAGTTTTTTGAACGCCTTTTTTCGTCCCAGTCTAATGGTTCCATTTATCGCACATTTTTTAAGTTTTGTATGGGTTGGCATTTAGGAGCCAATTGCCTCTTGATTATAAAGTAATAATCTGCACAAATTAAGGATAAGATGGCACTAAAAATTTTGGGCTTTGTTCCAGAAGCTCTTGTTCTCACATTCTTAAATAGAGAGTAACTGTAGCAACTGTAGCAGGTACAGAGATGCCTGCCTTTTTGCTTTTGCTTTTTCTAAACCCCTTTTATACTCACCCACATTACTCTTCATTCCCTGCAGTGATTTATCCATGTATTGTTAATCAAACTTATTTCCCAACACCTCTGCCTACTCCTATGTTCCATAGTAACTTTTGCAATTATGCAAGTCAACTATCTTATTTCATCCTTGGAGGTACATGACAATTGTGTTTTTAAAAATTGCCTTCATACAGCATTGTGTAAATGACGTAATATTGTGCTCTTTTTGCTACCTTGGTATTATTTTAATTAAAAATAGTAGTAACAGAACATCTGCACTTCCACTTCAGTAAACAAAATTGCCCTGAAGTTATAAATGAATATCAAAAACTTTATCACAAATATTGGTGTCCAATAAATAAATGAATATTGATATAAAGGAGTTTATTAGAACAACTGCTGCATGAAATGAAGGGGCATATGGGTGTTTTTAAAAATGCTTGCACATATTCCTCAGATCCTGTCAGATGCTCCAGATGGAACAGGATAAGCTAGCAAAGGGAGGCAAGCCCATTTAATTCCAGGAATTTGAAAAGATAGCAAAGCACACGCAGAGTGCTGTGTGTTTTACTTGCCTGCTTTTCTATCCCAAAGAAACTAGCAGGGACCTATAGTAGATCAAGTTGTTTTAGACTGAATCTGTCTAGCTAAAGGAGGCTTAAAAGCACTGAAATCCTGAAGTATCTGTATGCAGATACACGTGGGAAAAAACTCTACCTTCAAATCTGAGAAAAAAAAATTTTAAAAGAAACAGCAGTATCTTTTTATTTGGTGAGTTTCTGAAGCTGATTCAGGTTGGAACCTCCTTTGCAGAATGACACTTGGCAGCAGATCTGGCATTTCTTGTCTTCCTATTGGACAAGAAAAAACTGTAAATCATCCCACTGCTTTCCCACAGAGTATTTTTTGCAATCCTGCATTGTTGATACTAACTACGGAGATGGGTTCACCTTTGCCTTTAGTCAAGTCTGCTGTAAGTCACCCATTTAAAATCAGACATCACCTTGATGTTTGCTATTTTGAAACCTACCCATCTACTTGTTAGTTCAAAGGCTGGAATGGAAACTGGCTTAGAGACTTTGAATTTTGTTCTCTTTTTATTCAGAGAGCTAGAGTGAAACTGCATACAGAATTCTTCAACTTGTCAAATAGAGCTCTCCCAAGAAAAAACTGCTTGAAGCTACCGTAGTCATATTTAATGCAAACAAAAAGAGGAAAAAAAACCCCTAGGTTTGCCATGTTTTGATAGCCCTCTGCTCATTTCTTGTCCTTCTGTAATTCTTAAACCCTTATTTCTGTCTTGTGTAAGCTGCAATTTACACGCGTCATCTTACTCCAGCAGTGTGTTTTAAAGAAACACAGCTGACATTGAAAGAGCAGGTGAAATCTTGAGAGCTGTGGATTGATAAACAGGGTAGGTCTGCCCAATTTGGTGTAATGTTTCAGTCATCAAGAGGAGACAGGGCACTCAGCACTGCATGCAAGCTTGTGCTTGCCAAGCCTCTGCCTAACTACGCAGTGAAGGTCTTATCAAATACACATGGTCCAAGGAGGCTTGTGCAGTCCCAGTTCCTAGAATCATAGGTTTCTAAATTGCCTTGTTTTCTGGGAGATAACATGGAGATGGAGAGTGGGCAAGAGAGAGAAATATCTGAAGCAGAGGGATAAAGAAAGCAGGCTGAGGATCCCAGCCAGCCCTGCAAGCTATGTCAGGATCCCTCTGCAAATCTGCAGACTTATTACAGCCTCCTGTCACTGAATAATTTTAGAAGTCTGGAAAAAAAATTCTTTACTTCAAATTAGGGGGAAAATATCTAATGTTTATTGTTGTAATGTTTTTTTCAAAACTTTTGCAAGAGAGAAAAGAGAATGGAAGACCAAAACCAGTGGCCTCAAAGAAGACTTCGCTCCGACAATTGGTGGCAGAAGAGAAAAATTGAGCATAAGGGCAAAGTAACTCAGAGGAGTTCCACAGTATTGTGAGCACAGATGGAAATTAACCTGGTGTGTAGGAAGGAGAAGAAGGTAGTAGAGACAGCTTGACTGATGATGTTCAGTGACCTCATACACAAGAAACTGGTTTTGCAGGGTTGCTCTGTAAATCAGATCAACAAAATTATCTGAATTAAAAAGGAGCACAAAAAAGTCTTTGTCTTTCCCTCCCCCACTCTTTGTTTTTTGTTAGACTGAGTTGTTTCACTGACACAGCTGATGGTGTAGGCCTACAAACAACTGCTTCAGCACTACTCAAGGAGTTGATACTGATGCTTGGAGGAGAGGATCTGCTGCCTTGGAGATGAGATGTTTAGCATATATTCAGAAAGATCATTACTCTTCAGTACAAATCTGAGATGGGAAAAGACTGGCTAGGCAGCAGTAATTTGAAAAACCTCTGAGGTGGAACAGATCATGACCTGTAGGTGCAGCAACAATGTGACACTTGCAAAAGAAAAAAAGAAGGCAAGTGTTTGTGTCATGTAGAAACAGATGCAAATTCCAGCATATCACATAACCTTCTCAATCAGTTTCACACTGACAGGGTGAACGTGGGGTCTAGTACTGGACATTACGTTACAAAAAAAATGTAAACCAGCTGAAGTTCAGAAGAGAGCAGGAGAAATGTATGTTCAAAGTGGCCTGTAAGGAAAAAAAAATCAAAGGAATCTTTTTAATAAGGACTAAGAAGATGCACAGCAGCTTCCAGCTCTGCAGCATCTTTTTATATACTCCTCAGGGATTAAATCTTTTGCCAATGTCCTCAAGAAACAGGAGAAATAGTATGGGGCTAAAACTACAAGATCGGAAGATCTAGCTTCTTGTCTCCATCCATATTTATAACCAATGCAGGAGGAGACTGCCTGAGGAACAGTATGAAAGCATCTATCACCGGAGGATTTTAAACAGGTTAGACAGGCTTCTGTTGGGAACAATTAAATATGGTAGGTGCTCCCTGGGAAAATGGGCCAGTGAGCAGGATTCACGAGGCTGCTTCCCTTTGCGTGACTTGCTGCAAGCCTCTGGAATTCAGGTGAGCAGCCTGGCCACGGAAAACACAGAAAACGTGGCCTCATCACTCCATGCAGTCATGGATGCTCCATAATGAAGTTTGCCTGCAGGACCACTGGCTCTCCCTGCTGCAACAGGAACCTGACATGTTGTGTGGTTCTGCTTCTGTTGTTCAGCATAACATAAATATTTGCTGCAATTGTGGGGGAACAGTGTTTCATTTTGCTTCCAGGTCATTAAATTTCTCTTTTTTATTAGTAACAGTCTTCTGACCACCTGTATTACCTGTGCTGAAATGCCTACAGAGCCATGCTCATCATGAGAGGATGTCTGCTTTGGGACCAAACAATGGTGACCCAGAGGAGGACCAACAAGTTGATCAGAGGGATGGAGCACCTCTCCTATGAGGAACGGCTGAGAGGATGGGGATTGTTCAACCTGGAAGAGTGAAAACTTCAGCATGTCCTAATTGCAGCCTGGGGCAAGGCTATTTATAAGGCCATGTAGTGACAGGAAAAGAGAGAATGGGTGCAAACGGAAAGAGAGCAGGTTGACATTAGATATTAGGGGAAAACCCTTTACTGTAACAGAGATGAGGCTCTGGAACAGGTTGTTCAGAGGGGTTGTGGATGTCACGTCCCTGAAGGCCTTCAAGGGCAAGTTGAATGAGGCTTTGAGAAACCTGGTCGAGTAAAAAGTGTCCTTGCCCATGGCAGGGAGGTTGAAACGAGTTGATCTTTAAATCCCTTCCAACCCAAACCATTTTGTGACTCTGTAGGGCCTCTCCCTGTAAACGCCGCTTACGCCGCGGGGCTGCATCCCCCTCGCCGCACCCTGGCACACTTCTGCTCCCTCCTGGTCCGTTAAACGCCCCGGGAGGCTGCGGCTCCCCCTCGCCGCCGCAGGCCGAGCAAAGGCCCCGCACGGCCCGGGCGGGCACCGGCGCAGCCCGGGGGGGCGAGGGGCGGGGCGGAGCGGGACCGTCGTACCAGCGCTGCCCGGCGCTGCCGCCAGTACGACGGCTGCTCGCCCCAGGGCCGCCCGCAGTAGCACCATGACGGCCGGGCGGGTCTACGACATGGTGGTGTTCGGCGCCTCGGGCTTCACCGGCCAGTTCGTGGTGGAGGAGGTGGCGCGGGCGGCGGCGGCGACGGCGACGGCCGCCGGCGAGGGGCAGCTGTGCAGCGGCCGCCTGCGCTGGGCCGTGGCCGGGCGGAGCCGCGAGAAGCTGCGGGCGGTGCTGGAGCGGGCGGCCGAGCGGCTGGGTACGGGCCGCGGCCGGGGCGGGGGGCGCAGCGCCGCTGCCCGGGAGGCCCGGCGGGTCGGGTGTGCGGGGAAGGGCTGAGGAGCGAAGCGGGGCTCGCCCCGGCGCTGCGGCGGGGACGAGGGGGCTCGCCCGGGCGGAGCGGTGTCGGTGACGGCGGTCTCCCGTGCGCAGGGAAGGCGGCGCCCGGGGAGGAGGTCGGCGTGCTGCTCTGCGATGTGAGCGACGCGGGCTCGCTGGCCGCCATGGCGAAGCAGACCCGGGTGGTGCTGAACTGCGTGGGCCCGGTGAGTGCGGGGATGCGGGCGGGGCCGTGCCCCCGCGGCGGAATCCTCCCCGGGGCCGCGCCTCGGCTGCGGGCGGCCGGGCTGCCCGCGCCTGAGCGGGCACGGAGAGCTGCACGGCCCCGCGGGGACAGCGCAGCTCCTGGAACTCGACCCCGGAGTCCCAAGTACAGCTGTGCACTGCAGGGCCCGAAGGGTTTCCCACCGCTGTCGCAGGTGGTGTCGTTCACTGAAAATACACTGAAATACAGCGGAGTTGGTTTTCAGTCTTTCACAGGCAGCCTAAGATATTGATGGTAAAATTTGGCCGCAATTTTGAGTTGGGCCAAAATGTCAGTGGTGCTAGGGTTCAGCACGGAGCTGGAAAAGGGGCCCACAGGCTTGGTGCCAGGAGCGCTTGGCCCTTTTAAAACTTAGAGTGGCAGTAATTCCAGTGCATTCAGAGAGCATCAGAGTGTGCGAGATGGAAGTTGGGTCATGACCGTGTCTTGGAAATTCAGTGTTTAAGTAGGGAGTACGCTGATAATAAGAGTGCAGAAGGTGTAAAGTGAAATTAGTGGCAGTATTCAGTTGGTCTTGGTGATCTGAGCTGATTTCATGAGAGAAATCAGGTGCAATAGTCCGCAGCAAGGTCCATTGGTAACAGTGAAGTTTATGTTTTCTTCTCCCCACGCTCCCAAGAAATAGAAGTGCTCTTGCATTTTAGCCCCACTTAGAAAAATCAATAGGCACCAAGTTCACTTTTATTGCAGAGATATACTTTAGCTAAAGCACACTGGGTGAGTTGTGGTGTGTGGGTTTTCTTTTTTTACATCTGGTGTTCTTTCCTTCTATAGTATAGATTCTTTGGAGAACCTGTGGTAGAAGCTTGTGTTGAAAATGGTGCAAGCTGCATTGACATTAGTGGAGAACCCCAGGTATGTAATGGTAGAAAACCATTACCTTGTATCAAGGCTCTGCAAAAGGAGTGTTTATTTAGTTTGTTTCATGCTTCTGCTTCTGTTTCTGAACATGAAGACATATTCTGCCTCCTGATCTACAATTTGAAGATGCAGTAATTATTTTAAAGTACACTATACTTGGTTGTATAATTTTCTTTTAAGACAGGAGCTTCTTTGGGTCTCTGTGGAGGTCCCAAATTGCTGAATCTGCTTCAAGCCTCTGTTATGATACTACATAGGAATTTTCTACTTTTCACTGCTGTGAATCTTTCATACTACAGACCAGGAATGGTATATATTTGTCAAAGATACTTGCAAGTGGTTTGAAGCATGGAGGGTGCTATGATGTGACAGTGAAGCACTGATGGCTAATATTGGCTATGGACAAGAATGAATTTCAGCTTAAAATACTTGTTCTGGCTGTGTTTCAGTTTCTGGAAGGAATGTACCTGAAATACAATGAGAAAGCTGCAGAAAAGGGAGTATACGTCGTTGGAAGCTGTGGCTTTGACTCCATACCGGCGGATATGGGAGTGCTGTACACCAGAGACAAGCTGAAAGGTGACTAGAATAAGTGTATTTTTATGGTGGAAAAAGAATGCAGATTGCGTTCTCATCCGGTATCCTAAAGCAGCAGTGGTCCTGTGGGAACTCCTTTTGTGTCTCTTTTTGCCTGCCTTTACCAGGTGACCAGTTTCAAGCACATGTTCCCACTGGATGGGTCAGGGGGCAGGGGAGGAGTCATGGTGACGCTGCTCACTGAGAGGCGCTGTGATGAGCCCAGTTCAGAGCAGGGTGCTGACAACACTGAGGTGGTGGGTTCCATCCCCACGAGGGCCATTCACTCGATGATGCTCATGGGTCCCCTCCAACTCGGAATATTCCGTGAATCTGAGAGGACAGAATGTTCAGCTGTGAGCAGCAGGCTGCTCAGCCAATGTGTGGATGTCCCTAGGCAGCCTCAGCACAATTGCCTCTTGTGCAGTGAGAATCTTGTAGGGAAGAGACAGTGGGAAGGGGTACACAGACTGGGGGGTAATCAGGTTTCCCAAGTTTCCTTTTTCAACTGCAAGCTCTGAGAAGCTGCTTTGTGAGTGTAAGTAGCACTTTACTGTAATAGCAGCTAGAGGGTAACTGAAAGAGAAATATATTTAAGAAAATCTGTGAGAGGATTTAATTCTATGTAAATAGTACTTGATCCTGATCCCAGATGAGGATACTCTGTTCATCAGGTCTGACTTTCAGTTGGGAGGGCCCATAAGAGTATCCAAATGTTTTGCTTTTATGGACTATTAAAAAGGCTGCTAAATGGGATCGGTTTACATTGGAGTCAGCATTCAGTTGAAGAAAATTCAGATCTGACTGGAGGAGAAACAGGGTATGGAAATAAGTATCTGGATGTTCATGAGGTTGTAATTTGGTGTTTGATACCTGTTTTGAATAGATGTCTTTTATCTCTTCTTATTTTGACTTTATGGCATTACCTCTGTCTATCCAGTTGCTTGCTACATTGAAATTTATCCATACAAATACAGTTTTCCAATCTCAGAAGGAACTAAGCAAAGCAAAACAAATCAGAATTTGGAGGCATTGTGATGTTCTGCTGTTCATCAAACTAAGCATTCTTTGCAGAACACTATTTTAAGCTATGCTAAAATTAAATATTTTCTGGGTTTTTGGGGGCGTTGTGGGTTTTTTTTTTTGGTGGTGGGTTTTTTGTAGTTTGGGTGTACCAAAATTTTTAAGTTCGTATTTGCTTTCACCGCGTACATCTTCCTTTATTTTGAAACTTGGAGGAAAACTGAATGTGGCTCTCAATATTACTTTCTTCTTTTTTTCAATTAATTTTTTACATTATCTCATTAATTAAATACGAGAAATGAAATAATTTAATGAATAGAGGTAATACTAGTGACCTGTATTGAAGTAATTCACACAAGAAATGTAATACTTGCTAACTCAAATAGCTGTGCATCTTAATGTTACATTATTTTGCTTTGAGATAAAGATGTAACTCTGCTTTTTCAGCTGCTGATGTCAGTGGCCTGCTGTTTCGAGTCTTCTCTGGCTTTCTCTGGGTTTGTAGACTAATGACTGCATGTGCCAAGTAATGTTTTCCCCTCCCTTACAGGTACCTTAACTGCTGTTGAGAGTTTCCTGTCAGTGAAATCTGGGCCTGAGGTTAGTTGGGTTTCTTCCTTCCTGAAACTCAGGAGTATTTGTGATAACATCACCATAGCCTGTCACAATAGCTGTTGCTACATTAAGTCAGACCAAGGAGCAAGCTGGCAGGTCTTTGATGATAAGTCTAAGAACTTTATTCTTTAGTAGCTACTAAAAGTATCCTAAGCAAACCCCCTTTTGTAAGGTCTGTTTGCAGAGCTGTCTACCTACACTTTGCTCTGGTAAGCTGTTCCAAGAACTATTTTGCTTTTGCAGACATGTGGGAAGGATTCTTACACAAGTGAAACTGTAACAGGTCCAGAGTGTATTGCTAGTAATCCTAGTGTTAGGCTGTTTGGGTTTTTTGTTTTGTTAGTGGGGGGAAGTTTGTTTCAATGTACTTTAATGCATGTAATGATAATACCTGTGGGTAGTAATTGTAATAATGTGTAATATATGTAATAATTGTAATGCTGTTGTTAAAAAAATGCAACAATGATCCAAGTCAGTTTTGATGCCCAACAACCAAACACTACTGCTCCTGACATGAGCATCCATCTTGCCTTACAAACCATTTTAGTTCTGAAAAACATCTGGAGGAGTGGAGGAAGCCCATGGAATGGGAGAGTAGTATCTGTTAAGCAACAGGGGATAGTAGTTAATGGGAATGTATAAATCTATATGTTGGATATGAGCACATATATTTAAATATATAGCAAAAGTTCAAAGTGTTGGTAAGAAGGGATTTCAATAACGAGAATTAACTACACTGAGATGGTTAGAACAGCTACAGATATTTATTAAATTCTGTGGGTCCTGAGTGTGTTGCAGATCATGTGGAAAGAGGGGTGGAGATTGTGTTGGATCTGGCTGATCTGGAGTTCATTTCCCCACAGCAGCCCTCACAGTGCTGAGCTTTGTGTGGCAGCTACAGAGGAGTCAGTAACACAGCAGTGTTCTGGCTACTGCTGAGCAGTGCTGGCACAGCACTGAGGCTGTCTCTGCAGCATTCCCCCCTCACCTCACAGGCTGGGCTGGGCAGGATGCTGGGAGGGGACACAGCCCGCACAGCTGCCCCACACTGACCAAAGGGATGTTCCATACTGCGTGAGCTCTGCTCAGCAATAAAGGCTAAGGGAAAGGAGGAGAAGGGTGGGGTAGGGGGGTGGGGAGGCATTTGTTACTACTACACCTTTGCTTCCATATGCAGCTTTTGCTTTAGTAACTCACTTTTATCTTTACACACAAGGGATTTTTCCATCTTATTTTCTCCTCTCCCTATCTTATCTAGGAGGAGAGTTATGGAGTTATGGCATCCAGCCAAGGTCAACCCACACCATTTCAATACACTATCATCATAACGTTTATATGTAATAATTGTAATACATGTAGTGATTCTAATATTATTAAAATATTCCATGAAACCTTTAAATACTGAACTAATTATTGTTTCATGGTATGTCACAAGGGTCTTGGTGTACATGATGGGACCTGGAAATCAGCTGTCTATGGCCTTGCAGATGAAGCCAGCCTGAAGAAGCTTCGAAAACAGATAGGATATGCCCCTGTTCCAGTAGTTGGTACAAAGCTTAAAAAAAGGTATAAGCATAAGGTGTGGAATATACAGTCTCCTAATAGTTCCAGTATTTACGATACAGACTGCTACAGCACTAAATACTAAAAAGATACAATTAGGACTTCAGTATAGTATGAACATATAGATGCTCATCTAGTAGAACTGAAGTTCAGTTTTACTGCCTTGTTCATATCTTACTGAAAAGAGAACATGTCCCAGCATTTACTGGGTCTCAAAATTAACGCATTCTAAAGGACTTCTGGTGACATGGGAAACTTTTGATTTCAGAAGTGATTAGTAGAATGGAGGGGAAAAAATGCAAAGACTATTATATTGATTATCAGATATATCCTTGATATAGTGCATATAGTGAATTATATGTAGTGAATTATATGTAGTGAATTTTAAGTGAGCCAGGGATATATTTGTAATTGCTTGCTTTCAGTGAAAAGAGATAATGTCAGAAAAATTCTTGAGAGAAAACTGGTAATGGTAAGGCCATTGTGGTCAGTTTCTTTCAGTTTGTCTGAAGATTGGAACATTTTTTTTCTGACTTAATTTTTTTTCATTTGCAGAGGATTTATGTTTTACAGTCCAGAATTCAAGGAGTACTGCATTACATTCATGGGATCTGATGGTTCTGTTGTGAAAAGAACTCAGCGTTATTTGCACACCGAGTTGCAGCAAACACCTGTAAGTTACTGTTATTTGTGCACTGGCCTGTATCATGCTACTTGAGACTGTGGCTGATGAGCCTGCCTTTGGTAACACGATACTTACGAGATTGTCATGTCGGGTTCTCCTGCTGTCTGATTTCTGGCATGTATTTGTAGGGAATGGAAATATTGAGTCACAGGAATATTTGAAACATAGCCTTCATGATAAATATATTAAATTCTGCTTCTGTGCAGAGACTTTTCTTGTTGTATCAGCAGAGCTTCTAAAAGCATCATAATTGTAGTCAGTGGTAGCTACAGCCAGCTCAGTACAGTGTAGTAAATATTCTGATACAGAATTCATATGATGCTCAGTTATATCTTAAGATTTCTTTGATGCTTGAGTCTCCAGTGTGCAGAGTAAAGGCAGTGTGAAGTAATGGTGTGGAAAAGATGATTAATTTTTGTTTTCCGTGGTTTCCTGAGAGGACATGAGCACCAACAATCTCTGTAACTGCTGTGCAGAATCACAGACATCAGTTAAGCAATGAGGGTGAGACAGTGCTTAAAAATGCACTTGGAAGCTACAAATGAGAAAGGCTTGCCATTGCTATTTCCGTTCTTCTTTAAAAAAAGCATAAGGAGGAGAAAGGAATGATCTAAGGAAAGAAGGCTGAAATTGGATGAAAAGCACATCTTCGTGTAAAGTTTTGTGTACCATGTGTGCTCCCTCTTCACTCTGTAGTTACACTGTCTTCCCAGAATGAATGATAAAGGGAAGCATTCTTCAAACAGTTCCTCAGAACTAAGACAATTGTTTAAGGCCCTGTTTAAACCGATGTATGTTGTACAAAATAATTGCATCTTACTTAGGGGGTAGATTGATTTATAAAAATCAGTTGATGGAAAAAAATTAATGTAAATCCTATCACTGAAAATACATTCTTGCTTCAGGTCCAGTATGGCGCTTACGCGACTGTAGGTGGTCTTGGCTCTGTTATCAAGCTGATGTTTCTGGGCATGTTGTTCTTTCTTCTGGTGAAGTTTAACTTTGGAAGAAAACTTCTGACAAAAGTAAGTTTTCAAAGCACAAATTATTATATATAATTTAGTGTTTGGAGATATCTTTTTTCTCCCTCTTATTTACTGTTGGTCTTTTTTTGTCTTTTTCTGCTTTTTTTTTTTCTCCTCTATTCATACAGTACCCAGAATTTTTCTCTGCTGGACGCTTCACAAAGAAAGGACCAACCCAGAAGCAGGTAACTGACTGTTTTCTACCACAGTTATAGAATACATTTGTTGTGGTAATGGTGGAATATTAATTTAGAGTCAACTGCTTAGCCTCAAAGAAATAATTTCTAAATGAATCACAGAATATTCTGAGTTAGAAGAGATCCACAAGGATTATCAAAGTCCAGCTCCTGGCCCTGCACAGGACACCCCAAGAGTCACACCATGTGCCTGAGAGCACTGTCCAAGCGCCTCCTGAACTTTGTCAGGCTGGTGCTGTGACCACTGCCCTGAGGAGTTTCTTCACCCTCTGGGTGAAGAAACTTTTCTGATATCCAGTCTAAACCTCCCTGACACAACTTCAGGCCATTCCCTTGGATCCTGTCACTGGATACCACAGAGATCAGTGCCTGCCCCTCCTCTTCCTCTCACAAGGAAGGTGTAACTGCAGTGAGGTCTCCCCTCAGTCTCCTCTTCTCCAGGCTGATCAGACCAAGAAACCTCAGCCTCCATTCATACAGCTTCCCTCCTACGTCCAAATGCATGTTGTGTGTGCCTGTTTAGATAGTTACTGGATATTTAAATAACTATGCCTTCTGCTTTTAGACATCAAAGTGTGTGTAACTCCTATGAGGAATAAATGGATAATGTTGCTGGGCCTGATGTATTCCCATGGATGGCTCAGAGCACTCTATCAAAGGTGATGACCGAGGGAGACTGATTGGCAGGAAACTCAGGACTGAGAGAACAAACAGACTTTAGTACAAGGCCAGTGCAACAAAGTGGAAGCAATTAAAAACTCAGATTATACCTTTTAAGCAGTAATTCAAAATAATTCCTCTCATGTGTAAATGGATTATAGTATTTGGCAAAATTCTATATATAGAATTTGGATACTTTTATTTAGTAATTGTGCTTTCCTGGTAGCAGTCATTTTCTCTTGGTGAGCATGCTTGTCTTGTCCATTACAGCTGGATGGAACCTCTTTTACAATGACTTTTTTTGGTGAGGGTTACAGTGAGGGACAAGATCCCCAGAATGCCAAACCAAATGTGAAGATCTGCACTGAAGTGAAAGGACCAGGTATGTATTTTGCCTAGCATTCCCTGCTCTGAAATACGTTTCTGATTGCACTGCTGTCCCTTTCACCCTTGAGAAGCACTTGCAACAGGAACAAAGCCAACAGCCTTTACAGTGTATTAACATGGATAGTAGAATTCATTGTGACCTGGTTTTTGAAGTAGCCAGTTCACTTGCATTCTTGTAAATCTCCTTCCTCTGACTTTCCCTGGTCTGATTTTCATTTTTGCAGAGCAGACCTTTTGAAGGAAGAGGGCTTTAAGAGTAGTTTTTAGTTGTTACAGCCTGGACTTAGTACTTTGTTTATTTCCAGTTCCCAGAGAGTGAACTTAAACAGGTCCAGTGCAGTATGATTTCTGACTATTACATACTTTTGTTCAGGTCATTCCTTGAGGGGAGATGACACTGTAGTTTGGCGAGACCAAGAATGTACATTCAGAAATGAGTTACTGTAGCATAGCTTCTTTAAATAGCTAGAGATGTGGCAGAATGCAAGTGTTGCATGGTTAAATTCTGAATTGAAGTACAGGGTGGGGAAAGCTCTTGCTGTGTCAGAAAGCCCTCTGTCACCATGATGTGGTCACTCACAGTTGTGTGGTTAGAGGCCATTATGTGAAGCAGTATTTGTTTAGATTACATCTTAAGGATTTCACCAGCTACTTGGTCTGATTACTAGGTAAAAAAGCTGTTCTTAAATGGGAAAGGCTGTTTCATTGCCAAAGACATTACTCTCCAGAATGCTGTAGGGAAGAGCAAGATTACACTCTACATTTCAATGCACCATATTTCATGGGGGGGTTTTGGTTTGTTTTTTTGTCAGAGCCTGGATATGTTGCTACACCAATTGCAATGGTTCAAGCAGCTCTATCTCTTCTGGAAGATGCATCTTCTCTGCCTAAACGGTAAGTACCTTCTCATGCTGAGCAGCTTGCTCTCCCTTAAAGCTACTGTGTGCAAATGTTTCTCTTTGAGAATACACTTAATCAGCTCTGTGGATTTGTGTTACCTCACCCAACTGGCTGTGCAAGGGAAATGCTTCACTGCAAGCTGATTTAAAGCCACTTGCTCTTCACCAGCCAATCAGTTTGAAAGGATGTAGTCACAGGCTTTTAGTCAGGTCTTTGCATCAGTGTCTATGTGTGCAGTTAATGGAGTGGTTTCTATAGAGCTTGCTGGATGCAGAAATGAACCTATGATTATAACCACCCTGCCAAATTCCTCACCCACTCCCTTCTCGGACTAAGTGGCTTTTTCTCTCTTAGTCAGGGAAGCACATCTCTAGCTTCACAAAAAGGTGTCCCTCAATCACTGTGTCCCTAATGTTTCTCCTTTTTGATTTTCACTAACAGGGGTGGTGTATATTCTCCAGGAGCTGCCTTCTCGAAAACAAAACTGATTGATCGCCTCAACAAGCGTGGTGTTGAGTTCTCTGTTATTAGCAAGCCTGAAGTCTGAAGTCAGAACACAACTGTATGAACTAACACCTTTACTGGGTCTAACTCTAATAAAACCCATTTGGGCTGCAAAAGCCTAATCATAAAACAGTTTGACTATGCTATTGTTTGCAGCAGAAACAGAAGAAAATTCGAGTTAAAAGCTATAATAGTATTTGCTGTAGTGAGCAAACCCCTAAAGGGTGGGTATTGAGTGTTAATTCACAGACATATTAAATTGGTAACTTCTTGGGTACTAATTTGGGAATCTTAATCTCATTACCTAAGTTCAACTTCCTACTTCGTGGATCCACTATAGCATCTGCTTCACAAGTAAGCATAGCTGCCTTGCTTTGCCCCATTCTGCAACTATATAAAGCAGGCAGCCTGGAAACAGAAGTGCCTTAGCAAATAAGCTACTAGTTATTCCTAATGTGTGTTTGGTATATGTCTTTATTAACATCTTCAATTAATCTTTATTTAATAATCATTCTAAGTGCAGATCTATGTGTAGTTTGTAGTTAGGTAAGTAGTCACGAACTGTATTGTGCTTTTGCTTCTGTAAAGAAGGAGGCTTGTTCTGTTGATTGTTTTTGGAATCTGACCTGATATGATCCAGGTTCAGGGCACTCTGGCCTGTTTCACACTACTTGATACTGTGGTTGATGAGCCTGCTTTTTGCTGTTAGCCTAAGAATTATAAGAGTGTCTTATCCTGCTGTCTGATTTCTGGATTTATATTTGTGGGCAATGGAAGCTTTGAGTCACGGGAATATTTGAAAGGTAGCCTTCATGATTTTCAGGAGTGTGAATGCGTTAAATTCTATTTCTGTGTAGAGGCTTTTTTGTTGTATCAGTAGAACTTGTAAAAACTATGAAAGTTACTCTGAGATATATAAAGGTCATAAAAGTCTCTATCTCCTACAGCTGCATCACATTGACCTTTATTATTCTGAGGCAAATCACGTACAAATTGATGCTTTATAGTATCATAGCTGTATTGAAGATTGCTTTATGAATGTAGTTCACTATATGATGGGTTTTTAGGCTGCTTCTTAAGTTTATGCTGTCACTGCACTGTCTTCAATAACCTAAAGTTAAAAAATGTCTGTTAATGCTTTTATTCAGTAGCAAACAGTAATTTCACATTGAGCTAGAAGAAATTAAAGACACTGAAAAGCTGTTTTTCCCTTCCACTCACCCCTGAATGTGAAACATACGTACACATTCTGTACTACCTTACAGCTGCAAGTTTATGTATTTGAGGCACAGGGACCAGAGCAGTCCCTGTGTGCAATTCACATGCTCCATTTCTGATATTTCTGTTCAGAATTGACCATTTGCCACTGCCATGACCAGGAGCAGTTTTCCAGCACAAGGTGTGTACACAGCCAGCAGTGCCCATAACATTGCAGTGTCCTCTGCACTGCTCCACAGCCAGAGTGCCCCATTGCCTCTGCTAGGGTAAAGTGCAATTGGTCCCCAGTGCTTAAATGGGAATGCTTAAAGCTTCAGTCATGACAAAAGAAAGGTTACTTTTCAAATTTCCCAAAGAAACAAGAATATAGCATCTTGTTGTCTACAATGTTCTCTCCTATCCCAGTAATTTTTGCAATTTCTACACTGCTCTTTTCAAAGGCACAAACCATTATTCTACAAGGCAGCATTTTCAATTACTGTATTCCAGATGCCAGTCAACAGGGCAACAGCCACAGCTTATTTCTGCACTAATTAATCAGTCTGCACACAAGATGAAGGGATTGTGCTGTAAACATACCTACATAGCTTCATGTAGCAGTGTTCAGGTCTTCCTGGCTCAGAAATGTTTTGCAGTATTGAAAGAGTTAAAAAGGAGAAGGATGAAGCTAGTTCAATAGTATAGATGATATTTCATAACAAGAAAAAGGTTATAATTAGGGAGATGGCAGTGATTTCATTCAGGTGGGCAAAGGCAAAAAGATCAGCAGCAAGGGGCCATGTCAGGTGTTACTGCCTTACAGTAACAGTTTGATGGCAGTGACTGGAAATACAGCTTAACACAAACAACTGATAAGCAAAACTGCAGCAGAGAGTCGTCACTGAATCTTGACAGAGACTGACATTGCTCAGTTGTCACTCATGTGACTGGATTAAGAGTTTGAAGCACAGTTCTTGATTGTAGAAATGCACATAAAACTGCACAAAACTACTTGGCACTTAAATAATGACACGGTTAAGCCACAAATTGCATCTTTAGGCAGGTTGAAAAGTCCAGGTTGAACTTTGTTCCATGCAATAAAAACAAGAGTATTTCTCAAAGATGTGGGACAAGGTAACCACTCCAATAAAGTGAAAACTAAACTTTCCCTCTGTTCCCATTTTACTGCTTCGAAAAGGACTGTGTATACAATAACTACATGAATGCTAAAAATACCTCACAATTTGAACCCAGGGGTTTCCTTTTAAACAAAGCCCACAAGCTTCTGGTTTGGTTGGTTGCTACTTACTTCTTAAAATACAAACCTTGACCACAGGAGGAGTTTCCAGTACATTCAGCTCTGATGCTCTTGGCAGACTCTTTTGGGAGCTGGAGCAATGTGTATTTGATCCCAGGGGGCTGGATGTAGAAGCTCTGCACGGGGACTGCCAGCTCTCATCCGGTGCCACAGAGCGGGAAGGAACAGGACGAACCACCAAATCCAGCAACCTGTTAAAATACACATTTTAAACTAGGAACATCAGTAAATAAATGAAAAAAAAAACATGCTGTGATGCTGACAACACGAACACTCAGTGAACAAGAAATAAGAGTGAATCCTCACTGCTGGGGTGATACATTAGGCCCACATGGAAGTGACAGGCACTTCTTTTTGTTCATCTGTCAAAGTCCGTACACCAAGAGCTTGGTGGCAGTCAAAGCTTTCGTTTCAGTTGTCAAACTTTGTAAGCGCATTTCTCATAATGTAAATACATGTATTTGCCTAAATAAGATTAAAAAAGCCTAAAAAGCAGAAAAATATAGCAGAAAAATATGTTTCTCCAAATGTTATTTATGATTGTGTCTCAAACGTTGTATATTTTATGTGCAAAAAAGCAAAACATAGCTGTGTTCATATGTACCTTCCCACCAAGAAACTAACATAATTCAAAGAGATTTCTCTCCTCCTTTTTCTGTCTCCCCTCAAACACATAGAACAAGGCTAAACTTTGTGAAAAGGCTGCTTACTTATTATACTCTGAGAAATTGGTTGTCTTGTTTCCTAGCCATGCTTCTTTAAATCTGGACAGTACTTTAGTGATTAAACTTGTTCTTGTATGCACATTTCCTGCATTAGCCTGCCTTGTTGCTGTTGATAATGGCTTTGGCCTTGGGACTGTAAAGCACAAGATGGAAAAGTATCAGCCTTGTGTAATCCAGGTGGTGGCCGGCTGCACATCCTATTTCCCTTCTCTAAAATTACCTTCTCTTAGGACCGATGAAGGCAAACGGTACGGCTTGGCTCTCTCTACTGCCAGCTTCCTCTGAACTGTGGGAAGGATCTTGATATAGTGGTCTAACAGAGAATTTCTAGCAACTGCTCTCTCTCTCAAGCGAGGATCACGATCGTTCTGACAAAGGACATGTGTAAAGCAAGAAGTTAACAATTCACCAGAAGTTCATTGCACAGAACTGTCTCTGCTCTTTCCAACTAAGGCCTAAATTTGCTCTACAGACAAAGGAGAACAAATCCACTGCACACAACCACAGCAAGTTCCACCCAGGAGCACACACCAAATTCACCTGGTAGTTCTGGATAAGTGCAAGGGAAGACTGGAATAAAAGCAGAACATAAAACTCCTAGTTAAAAGGACTCTGGCGCTTTGCAGAGCCTTATTCTTGCATACTTCATAACACCTGCAATTTTTAAATGGCTTGTGGAAGAGCAGGCTTTCCCTTGGTTGTCATGAAATAAAGATATCTAAGATTACTGAATACACAGGGCAACTTACTGAATACACAGGGCAACTGCAAATTAGGTTGGACGAAATTATAGGAAAATTAAAACAAGTTAAGAAAACCTACCTACACACACCTGTCTGGAACAGTTTTCACATACAGTTTTCACACACGTAAGCCTTCCAAGACTACCTTTTAAGTTTGATTTACTGGAAAAATACACTTTCAAAAGACAACACATGCATCACAGATCCCTAATAGAAGTTCGTATCATGCAAAATTTGATCTGGATATTTTGAGAAACATAGGTTAGAATTTATGTCATAAAATTGCCAGCATTAAACTACTGGAATCACAGAGCTTGCACTATAATTTGAGAAAATAACCCAAAACCACAACTAAACCCTACTACACGTATTTGACCTGTTGAGCATCCGGACTGCTCTCAGGTAAAAGCAAGATACGAGATGGGACATACAACACACTCTTCATTTCACAGAAAAAACTGACACAAATACCTTCCCTAGCTAAACCATATATAACAGCGGGATCTCAGGATCTGAATGAAAAGATGGGATGGTAGAAAAGATACCTATTTTTTTATGAGATACAAACAAACTTTCAGTGGAGGCAACAACTGAACATTTAATTTTTAACTTCACATGGCAGTTTGCAGTAGTAAAATTATTTCAGCCACCTTTTAGGTTCAGTTGTAACTTGACATGTAGGAACTTATTCCTAGTCTTTCAAAGAATGGTATAAAAGACAAAGCAAGATTTTTCTTTAGGACTGTCAAAAGTGATCAGTCACCATGACAGAAACTTGCACACTCGGCAGGACTGCTACCCTTACCATCAGATTGGCCTTCATGGACTGATTCAGCTGGAGTGCTGGGATGTAGTTGGCACGCTGCAGATGGTGGATTAGGAGGAATTCATGATTCTGAACACCAGATTTGGTCTGTAAAAACTTCTCCAAACACTCCTGTGAGAATAACACGTTTCAAACATTGGTGATGATTCTGCCTCTTCTCTTGCCAAAGAGGCAATTAAGATTTTTTTGTTTCTTCTCCAAACTCACTTTTTCTGTGTCTGTGAAGGGCAGCTTCAGCAAATCCTCCATCAGCCCCATCTCCTGACAGATTTCATACATGTGCTTGAGCAGCTCTTCTATGTTTAACTTCGTGGTGTGCTGCTGCAACAGACCCCAAGCCTCCACCATGCACCTGCAGTTAAGGTTTAGGAAATGGAAAGGAATGGGAACGCCAAAGCCAAAAAGATGCCCCACAGTGATGGTATTCATTCAAGGCTCAAAGGAAATGGAGGGGAGCCCCATTTGTGTCATCAGTTCTCCACATTTCCCAATATGTGAATGCCAAAACAGTGGGAGATTTCCTTACCTATTGGACAACAACACGGTGAGGAAGAGCCGCACTTCACTGCTGCTGGACATCGACGGCTTCATCATCTGCAGGTACCTGAGGGCTCGCCTGTGCTCTCCCTGGCACATGAGGGACTGAATTATCCTCATGTGTTGCCATGACACAGTCTTGATTGTAGCTGGATGGAAGAGCAGGGCCAGGGAATTCTGCACAAGTTGAGAGCAGCTTCATTACCATGGATACACACACACCCCCATGCAACAAAAAGTCAGAACTTTCTGCAGCAAGGCTGGACATGGGCTAGACCTACTTAGATATCTAAATAACGAAATACTTGATCCAGGACATATCAGGAAAAATTCTTCAGTATTTGCAGGGAAAAAAAATCAACCATACAAATGTGATGTGTTGAGAGGACCAATTCAGATCTTTCTAAGTTCACAAATCTCTGTGTACAAACATCCCTTTTAATAAACACATTACTAAATAATAAGTTACTAGACAATCAAATTGATTCTATTTGTATAGTGACAGGTAAAGAACAACCTAAAGCATTAGGAAGAGCAGGTTGAAAAGTCACTCCTGCAGTCTTTTGTCTCAAATGTTCCTGCTACCATGACAGTTTCCATGCTTCAAGTACCCAAAATATTCTTTTAGAAATAGTGTCCAACCAGTCTGCTAAAAACCTCCTGAAACAGTGATTGTTTTGAAAATTCAAACATTAAGCATTATGTTGATTATGCCATTGTTTTAATAAATTTCTGTCAAAGCAGTTAAAGGACAAATGCATGTGATCATCTACAGGTGATAAAGTAAAAGCAAGTTAACTTAAGACCATGTTTTTCAACTAAAACTTTGGTCTAGACACACAGAAACCACACAACCTCAAGAAGCCTCCAACTCTCAAAGAATCCAATCCTGTTTCTGCCTTAGCTAAAGGAGAACTAAGACAAAACCACTACTGCTGCAAACTGCAAAACTACAACCACTTCTTGTCTCAAGATCAGCTTCATGTTTGTCGTTGATGCAGCATTCAGATCATGCAGGGTAAGCTCAAGACTACTCCTAAATAAACAACTCTCAAAGGGAATGATTTTCACATTTACAGATGCTCACATCATGAACATGTGAGCATCTGTAAAATGACTAAAGCTGAAAATGGAATGCGTATGGTGTCTCAATTAAGAGCATGTCCAAGGTGTAATTTCATCTCGAGCAATAAATCAAAGGTTCAAAACATGCAGGTACTGCTTTTACTATCAAAACAAGTGTACTGGTACTACAGGTTCCACTTACCTAAACCCACGGGAAGGAGACTGGATCGACAGAACCAGATCACCACTTGTGCATACAAAAAAATGAGGTTGGTTACCATCTGCTTATTTGCCAAGTCTGAAAAACCTGAAAAAAAGGCAAAACATTATTTGAGTATTGAAATTCCTTTCATTTTACAGAACTCCCTTTGCAGAGCAAATAGAAAGTATGAACAAACACAGTAGAAACCTGTCTTTGTAGTTATCCCTCTGGATCACTTACGAATTTGAAGGAAAAAAACCACCATTCACCCCGCCAAAAAAATCCCCAGTCACTAAAAGAAACAGAAAAGAATGTAGCAGCTTGTTCAAGCTCAGACATTTCTTTCAGGTGAAATGATCCTGCATAAAATTTTACATTTTTCTTTTTTTCCTTGGCTCTCTTTTTTCTAAAACATATTCAAAAAAATGTTTGCTTTCTAAGTTAAATTATTACCTTCAAAGATATTTCTACACATTCTGTCACTTGAAAGCATGCGTTATACTTCCATCTTTTTCTGAAATCTGGTTTCGTATAAAGAAACATGCCAAATACTGCTTAGGGTAGCCACTAAAATTCAAAACCAAGCTTCTTGACCTAATTCTGAAATTTCTTTCTAGCATCCCTGCTAGAAAAAAAAAAGCAATCCCTGCTCAAATGCATAAAAAGTCTCTGAACAATATAGTCACGATTCAGGAAATGTCATAAAATTTCTTGCTTCCCCAAGTTACTTCCGAACCAGATTTGGCATCAGATCATCTAATCAGAATGTAAGAGCCAACATCAGGCTTTTAAAAATAAGTATTCTGTGGGCTGGGGCAGCTTGCCAAGAGGGTTCTTCCTGGTGAAAATCGGAGTTTGGATCTAAGAATATTATCATTTCTCCTAAATAATGTCAACACCTGCTTCTCAGAGCAGCTTGCAAGAAAAACTCAGATGGTCATGTCTTGTAGCCTCTACAGCCTTCAGAGAAGATGGATGTATTTCCCCCTGGATTCCCCAGTGTACACCCACCTGACTCAGACTGGATGGCTGGACATCAACCAGTCTTGGAGACAGCAAGCCAGCTACAAGACACCGAGTGTAGCTGTCACGAATGGCTTCACTTATTAAAGGACCAGATTTCTTCAAAAACTTCAGGGTCTGAAACATCAATCAAAACACACAGGTTAAGACAGCATTCAATCACTAAGGTTCTGCCTTAAAACCAACAGCCAAACGAATGTTTTCAATTTAAAAAAAAATACCCTGCAGAAGAAAATACCATCCCTTGCAATGCTAAAGAAAGTATTTTCCAGCCTCTCTGTCAATACACAGGCCCTGGTATTTTCCCTGACACAAATTACACTCCGTAAAAGTTAAACCAAACACACAAAATCATACTTTAAATATACTTCTGTGCTTGTTTGTGCCAAAGCTGATTCACGTTACAATATTTAGTGAGCAGGAACTTAAGTTGAAAGGGCTTGTCCTAAACTGTGCAGTGGCTCAGCAATTACAATTTGGCCAAGGCTGAGAGAAAAAAAACATGCATTTCTTCCTCAACAGTTAAATCACTTTCCCCTTTCCCCATGCTGTCCTCCTGTCTCAAGTTCATCAGGGATCAAAACCCTAACTCCACACTATACAAAGAAGTAAACACTTTACTTCCACCAACTCGTCCTTCCTACTACAGCAGTGCTGCAATTCCTTTCTAGCCATTCAATCCCTGCTCATGCCTCCCCAGAACAGTGCCATGTGCATGAAACTGGCAGGATATGACTGCAGCTATGCATGTGGGTGGGCAGTGTGAGCATCTCTGATACTCAAAGCACTGCAAGGGAAAAGTTAGAAAAGGTTCATCTCTTGACACCCTCTCAATACAGTAAAAAAAGTCACCTCCTTCTGGAAGCCGGTGCAAGTCATGTGAACAACTCCCGAGTTGAGCAAGCACGTCACATCTGCAGAAACAAGGAACATTTGACAGACCTTGTTACCTCATCACCACTCTATGCTTTTTAAATAGTGCTCTCTGCAAAGACAAACCTCCAGCACCTCCCCTTTCCTTCATCACATCGCTTACACACGTCCCATAAAAAGGAGTTACTCTCTCTCTCTCTGGAAACTTAAGCTTGAGTGCTACTCACGTGCTGTGCTTTGGGCCTCAGCTCAAAGGCATTTCATTTTGTGACCATCACCCCATCCCAGGCTATGTTACAGCAGCTCCAAAACCCAAAACTCAGCTGCCTGTCAGATATGTCCCACAAGACTGAGTACCTTGTCAGCTACCTAGGTACCCAGGCTGGAGAAGGTTTGTGGGGCTTTGTTTGGTTTGGTTTTTGTGTGACAAACAATGAACAAGAACCACTGGCATTTGACCTCCACCAAAGCTTGCCTCTATTCAGATGAAAAGCAGTGAAATACCTACCAAAATTATAGGTGCTTGGATTAAAAAACTGTTCAGGTGGTGGATAAGAAGGAGGAACCCCCCGACTTAGACTACGCTCGTGTACCAGAATATCCAAAATGAGGTTTGGAGAAGTCATGCTTATTACAGGATCCAGCGACCACAGTGCAAAATAGGGGCAATCATGAAGCAATTCTTCTGGCCTTAAAGAGAATAAGTGCATAAGCTCAACAGCAATTTTCAAATTAACCCTTTGTAGGGATATTGAAAACCACTCGATTAAAACCTACCTCAGTGAGTCTGGCATTTGAGCATGATACCAGCGATTGATGTCAAACACTCCCAAATGAACAGATGGTTTTTCTTGACCATGTGTGTTCACTTGCCAACTGAAGATTGATACACTGGTGTCAGGAGAGATTACTGTCAAAGACAAGACATTGTTTCTTGTTGCAGAAAATATGAGATATTTGCTGTTATTTCATTCATGAAACACAACACTTTACTAGAAATTATAAAAAAAATTATGAAATAGCAACTATCTCTGCAATAGGCTTCAGTGCCTCTTTTACTTATTCAAATTATATTTGTTTTAAGCAAAATCAAATACACAATTATTAATTAAGTTTTATATGCTAAATGAATAATTATTTTGGGGTTTGGGGTTTTTTCTGATGTGGTGGGTGGCTTGTCAGCCAGCTGTCATGTAGGACACCTTGGTACTTTTCCACCAGGCACATTTCCAGCCACTTTTCCCCAAGTCTGTGGCATTGCTAGAGGTGTTTGAACCTAGTACAATTGGCCTCAGTCCATCGATTCAGCCTGTGCAGATCCCTCTGCACAGCCTTCCTACCCTCCAGCAGATCAACATTCTTGTCCAAGATGGTGTTGTCCCAAACTTACTGAGGGTGCACTCCATCCCCTCATTCAGACCATTGATGAAGAAATTTCATAGGACTAGCCCCAGTTCTGAGCCCTGCGGAACTAGATTCACTGGTTGTACACTGGATGCAGCCAGAGGTCTGAGCAGGATAAAAAAAATTCAGGTAACACTCCTAAGCAATAGACTAAGCAATAGAATGATCTTACTGTTCAATGCAGACAACTGGCAGAACAAACTGACTGACCAGCCTTATACTGATGACCCCACACAGCAAACATAAAATAAAAACTATTTTTTCCCTTAAAGAATGATGTTCAGTGGGATAGGAAGCCTCACATAACTTAAGTACACAGGTTTTTTTAATAAGCCCAACAAGGTCAGTTAGATAAATATTTAAGACTTTAAGACTGTGGGTACAGACCAGCATTCATTGCTTAGATTTCCAAGCCATGTAGTTCAGAATAACCAAGCAGGGACATCAGAACAAACCTTCATTAACGCTGTCCTCTCTGTCAGCATGGTTGCGAAATTTTTCTATGGTCTGAAAGCTGAGGAATTTAATACTGCTGGTCTGCCCTCTCAAGGGAAAGATTCCACCACTGAGATCTAAACTGAAGAGTTTGACACAGTATGTAAAACCCTGCAGAAAAAAATGAAGAGAAGAAAGGTAATTTTGAAACAACAACATACATTATACCCAAGTATGAATTAATGCAAATATCTGATATGCTTATTTTACTGTATGTTTCCCATCACTAAAAATTACATCTGACATGCAAGAGAATTAAGTGTCAAGTCATAATGGGCAAGTTCGCCTCTAAAGGCTTTTGCACCTTTTAAAAATTTAGCATTTCCCTAACATTAGTCTAGATCTAAACATGTTTTGCAGAATTCCTTGCATCATGAAAGTGTCTTTACAAACCTGAACATATACTTACAAAGACATCTAAAACAATGCAACACATCTTCACGCAAAGCTTTTGTTCCATGTTTTGATTAGATAACCTGACATTACAGCAGCTAAAGGCCTGTCACGAGACGTTAGAATGAACATTCATCTCTCTAGTAACAATGAGAACTTCCTAGAGATTTAAAACCTTCTTTCAAACCACATGAGCTCTCATCAGGGAAATATCCCTCAATTCCTTACGGAGAGGACATGGGATGAACATGGAAAATGTGTTTAAGACCCCAAATTACTACAGAGCAAGCAGACTGCTTTGAGACACACAGAAATAAACATACAGAAAGGATGGCCCTGAACCTTTGCCACCACCATTTTCTAAGGAAGCACTAATTGAAATACTGTCTTTCCACTACAGCCTTCATTTAACCTCTCTACCATACAACACATGAATGTGTGTGTATTGTGGACAAATAGCAGCTCTACAATAAAAAAAAAACACCAAACTAAAAAAACCAGCAAGCCACTTTCAAACAAAAAATGAGTTTCCAAAACTTTCAGAGATCTAAAATGAACTGGCATGAAACAACACATTCTCATTCTATACATTTAATTCATCTAATCTAGAAGAGACAAGCTTTCTCTTAACGGTTCCAGGAAATGTTACAAATAAATATCAAAGGTGTCTAAAAATAAATGAATATATTAAAAAGTCTTTCATTACTGAAAAGGGTAACATTTGTCCTGAAACATGCACATTCTATTCTGTTTTATTCAGGAATTTTGGAAACAACAGATACACATGCACAGTAGTTAATGATCAGTTAATAAAAATCAAAACCATCTCTTTGAAAAACTAACATGAAGCCTAAGCAAAGAATCTCATCTTAAAAATTACTAAACATAAAATTCAATTTTAATAAAAAATGCGGACCTGAACAAGATTTCCATCATACCAAGGGACAGTTCTGTAAGAAAAAACACTATAATTCCATAAACTCATCAGGCATTCATTTTAATGACTAGAAATTTCAGCTTTCACTCATACACAAAGAGCCAACTTAACTGATACTCAGGGAAACTTTATCTTTTCATCTCTCACATACAAGCTTGTCTTACCTCATACATGACTTGTCCTGATGCCAGACATTTCCTGTCACCAAATGCTAACTGCAAGAGATGTAAATTCACAGCATTCCCTTCACTGAAAAAGGTATAAATGAGGACATTTGCTTACAAAGCTGCTTTACAATCCTCATTATCATTATATTAGATCTAGGCTGAAACTGACTTAAGAGCATGCTCATGCTGAAAAGATAAACACTGCTTCCCAAAACATGGTAATTGGTCACATTAGCCATTAAAACAGAAAGGAGGAAATTTTGACACAAACAGCTTCAGGGGCAAATGCTAACTATGTCTTTGTTTGGAAAGCTCTAATATGCAGTATGGACCTAAAATTGTTGGAAATAGCTTTTCACAGTAAAGCATTCTCCATGAAAACTGCTTTGAAGTCAAGCTCAAGAAGACTGCCAGTCTATGAACAGCTGGGATAAGTAGCTTGCTGATGCTGAGAGAGACAGAGGTATGTTTTTCCCCTTCCCACCTAAGTTCCAGTCCCTCTCTTGCATGCAGTGCACCCTTCTACACTCTGACTTTTTCCTTATCCCAGCTGGAAGCCATTGATTTGTTTGCTGAACACTGCTCCTTTTCTTCCAGGGAAGCTTAACTGGCACACAAGGACTCCAAAGAATTCTGAAGCTCTCATGAAGCAACCAGCAATACTGTCATCGTCCTCTTTTAGTCACAACTCTGTGTGAACAAATATTAAATTTTTAGAAAAGCAAAATCAGTGGCTGATTGCAATTTTTATTCACCTTTGTTGTGTAGATTGAACAGCCCATAAGTAGCAACAATTTTGAAGATCATTCTCAGGCTCTTGAAAAGTAAGAGCACAGACAGGAATCCTTCCTCCTCCAAGATGAGTGTAGTGCCTACAGGTTTGAAAACAAAATAGAAAAGACAAATAATGGAGGCAAGCAAGTGACTACCTTTTATGCAGCAGTCAAGGTGAGGAGATTTCTGTCCATCAAAGCAATAAGCTCTGTTTATGTCCTCCTCTGCCTGAGGAGGAGGAACAGAAATGATTAGTTCAGCTAGGGAAAACACTGTTCCTATTGTTGAAGCCTACTTTAATATTGAACTTAAAATGCAGTAAATCTGAACATATTTAAAACAATAGCAAACAGAAGGAGCTTCTAATTTCTTTACTTGGGCATTGTAACAAACGTTTTCTTTCAGACTTCTGAGCCTTAGCTGTACCTTCACAATTTTTTCCTGACACCTAATTAGGCCTCCACTATCTATTTACATATCAGTAGTTTTGGTGAGTAACTGCAGATTTGCTAAAGTAAATCCCTATCTGAATTTTGCCACATATTTAAAGTGACATTACTCTTCAGCAGATTTTAAATAATTTCTTAATTTTACTATTGTTTATAAATATATATGCTTCTCATTCTCATCTCCAAGGATTCCAGGGAAAAACTGTTTCATGTACATCAATGCTTCGGAATGGGTCAGCCCCCTACTTGCATCAAGGCTGAAACGTAGGAAAAAAATGCTTTCAGGCAGAGATCAGCTACTGAATTAACATGTCTCACTAGTTTCATCCCAGTCCCTTTATAATATATAATCACCAAAATCACATTATTCATACACTGAAGCCTTTCAGTGCATGCCCTCATTTCAGTACCTGGTTCTGAAAAATAATTTCTAAAACCTGTCTCATGGAAAAACAGACATTGCCTTGTTTCACTGAATACGACTGCACACAAGAAACTGACTTATAAAAACCAGATCTCTCACATCCCTACTGTCTGACATGATCCAGTACTTTCCACAAGACCTCTATGCACAGGCATGGTAAGAAATCAATTGTAGTCCACTGCAGAGAAGGCGCTGCACTTAATCCATGTGTGAGTTAATAGTTACTTCAGAAGAGGATTTCTGAACACTCCAAGGTTATACCCAACATCGCACTCACAAAAAAAGGGCTCTTGAAATTAATATGTTTCCTGAAGCAGAAAAATTGAGACCCCTGCAACTCCAAGCGTGGCCAAGTGGAAAGGACTACTTACGCCCTCTTCAATGTTTTCATGTTCCCCAGTGACAAGTAGCCATCCGAAAATCCCACAACGAGCTGGTTGCTTCTGCTTATGTAGCACAGGGTTGACACTGCTGTTCCTGAAGGACTTCGTAACTGAAAACAGAGATGCCTCCCTTCCCTGGTCACAGCTTCTCTTCTTTGTGGAACTTCAGCAGGAATTCTAGTCACAACTTCTAGATCTACACACATAAAAGCAGGCAAGAAATTAAGGCATTATGCCTCTTCAGTTGCACTGACGTGATTACACAATCTGTATAATTCTTCAAACAGAACACCCATTTCTGTGCGCCTTTTTGTGCTGTTCCTGTTTCTGCACCCATTCAGAGAACAGAAGGACTCTCCAACGGGACAGGTATTCTCACTCCTATTTCAAAACTGGGTACAAATGTAACCATTGTAGATAAATTCCTCTGGCCTCATGAAGAAACACCTTGAACACAAGAAATCCAAGCTTACAGCTATCTCTAGAAAATTCAGGTAACTTTATCTTCTTTTAGAATTCCTATGATTCAAATTAAATTTTTAATCTTCACTGCTACTCAGAGGACTAACAAGAATATTTTGAATATTCAAATTCTCATCCTTCAAGTCTTAGTGACTGTGATGAGGAAATACAGAACGCATCTTGCTGCGCAATTAGACAAGGTTCAAGGGTTGCTGCTTCTAACTTTTTTTTATTTTAAGTTTTTTTTTTCATTGTACAACTGGATTAAAATGAATCTTTACTAGTTCTTCATAGAGTATTCCAACAATGTTCCATGTTGAAGCTCCTGAAATGACATATTTTTCCACTATGCTATGCACTGCTTTTTCCTCATTCTGAGGAAGAACAAAGAAAACTTGGCTCACAGAATCTGAATGGTGCCCTTCTGCCTCACATAAACCATGAAAATGTGGGAAAATACCTTGCAGCATGCAGTCACTATAAACCCACAGGGAAAATAATACCAGAAACACGGTGGTCCTTGGAGCCTTAAACAAAAATGACAAAAATGCAGAAAGAGGCGTTGAGACAAAGGCACCCTTGGCTGGGTATTCTGAACTGACAATGCGTTAATACAATTCAGAAAACATACATGTTGTATTCCATTTTATGTAAATGGTATGCCCTGTCTCACTCCTCCGAAATGTATGGTATAAAGGAACTTCAAGCTCAAAGGAAGGATGAGCTCCATTACTACAACTACAGTCAGGCAGATAAGATTCTACCTGGTCTTAACAGCAGCCCAGACATCCAGACAGGCATCCAGCTCTACCTTCAGATCTCCTAGAAAGTAAACTGCCTAATCTGCTTAGCTGTTGGCAGCAGCTCTCACCGGGTCCTCAATTGCATCCTATTAATACCTTGGAAATACATGAGCTGGTAAAAAGAAATTTGACCCAACACAACACTATTTCTTCCTTGAAAACTGCCTTCTATTTCACTCAGAACTGAGGAGGGCATGATCAGCTGTATTATTTAAATAGCACAGGACTGGAGCAGGCTGTGGCACTTTCAATGCTTCCAATTGTTAAAATATCCTCCTAGCACTATCAGAACCTGATGCATTTGACTTAACAGAACAACCTGATGCCATGATCCTGTGCTTCAGCCAATAACAACTTCATACCAAATCCAAGTTTAAAGGAAAATGCTCACCTCCAGAAAACTTCCCACACAGTGCAGAGTCTAGGGTGATCTCATCTTCCCCAAGTGCCTCAACAGTCACCTCTGGAAACTGCAGCAGACTGCTCGTTACCTGAGCCGTTAGGTCTCGCATTCTTCACTGGATATAAAGAAAAAAAAGTAAGGAGACTCATGTCAGCCATAAATATCTTTGAGACCCAAGCTTCATCAGTATGCATTGACAAATCTCTCCCATGCATCATTTGTAGCTTTTTTTTGCTCAAAAGAAATGGCACTTGGGACAGTTTTTCATCTCATAGCAGAGCAAAAGGAGAATCTTGAGCTTTTCTGATGCCTAAGAGATCAACAAAAAGTGACACAGAGAGATGGACAAGATAAATCACAGGGAAGAGAACAATACACTGAGTTCAAGTCTACTATACAGGTCAGCAAGACTTGATCTCAGAATAATCATACTTTAAAAAAGTTTGTGCTTGCCAGGAAGCATAAACATACAGCAGAAGACAAGAATTAGAAAGGATTTCAGCACTCTATCCCAAGAGCTCCCAACAGCTAAGTTTCTGTATTAGTTACAGTTTGCTTTTCCTTTAGGTGAGAAAACAAAACTAGCACAAATCAGAATTAGTGCAAATTTACCCAGCTATCTGCTGTGGCTCTTGTCTGGCACGACTCCTGTTTCATTAAAGAGTTGCAGCCTGTCTAACATGGCTAAGCAAGCCAAAGTTCCTAAAGTCTGCGCTGAGTCAATGCTTGTCTCTACACTGCTTCCTTTACCTGGACAGGCAGACATAAGTGCCAAGGGGCTCAGCACAGAACACAGCAGTGAGGAATTTCACTGCTTGCCCCTCCCAGCACAAGTTCTACAATCTTGGCTTTATAAAGGAATTCTAGAAGGGCCTTCTGGAACCACTGGCAGTCATCTCACCCAACTGCCCTGCTGCTCCAGCCACCACCTAGAGCAGGCTGCCCAAGGCTGTACCCAGATGGATCTGGAACATTTAATTCTCCAGCAGGTTTTTACAACCAGCAGCCTGACAAGATCAACTGCAGAAACACCTGTAACCCATGCAACAGGGCCTGCTGTTCGGTGACTCTCTCCTGCCAGTTTAAGGATTCTGTTCCCTCCAGCACACCAGTAAACCAGCGTCACACCACGAAAGACCTGTCACCACTGTTTCTCCAAAACGATATCTGACACCTTAATTCCCAGAGCAGCAAGTCAGGCAATCCTTGGCTGTCAAGCAGCACTGTCACGCCTCCTAGAGAAACCCGCAGCCGCAGCCCGGCTAAGCAGCAGCCATGTTGTTGCGAGGCCCGTGCGGGGCGCAGGCCCCGCCTCTAGCGGCAGGGCCTGCCCGGGGAGAGCGCCGGGCGCTGCTCCCAGAAACAGCGACAGCTGGGCTGCTTCGGTTCTGCGAGTCACCTGGAAGGAGGATACTAAACTCAGAGCATCCAGAGGGCAAGGAAGATGGGCCTAGGGGAGAAGATGTATGAGGAGTGGCTGAGGTTTCTTGGTCTGATAAGCCTGGAGGAGACTGAGGGGAGCCCTCACTGCAGCTACACCTTCCTTGCGAGAGGAGGGGCAGGCACTGATCTCTGCTCCGCGGTACCCAGTGACAGGATCAGAGGGAATGGCCTGAAGTTGTGTCAGGGGAAGTTTAGGCTGGGTATTACAAAAAGTTTCTTCACCTAGAGGGTTGCTGGGCACTGGAACAGGCTTCCCAAGCAAGTGGTCACAACACCAGCCTAGCAAAATTCAAGAAATGTTTGGACAATGCTCTGAGGCACAAGGGCACAAGTGTTTAGGGCCAGGAGTTGGACTTCAGTGATCTTTGCGAGTCCCTTCCAACTCAGTTTACTCTGTGATTCTGGGTGACAGCATGTGCTACATTTTGGTGTTCACTTCCAGGATGACAGAAATGTAGGTGACACTACATAACACTTCAAACCAATGAACACCAGACGCATTACACTTAGGGGAATGTTAATAAGGAGAGATAAAAAAACAGACCAATCTACAGCAGTGAACTAGTGAAAACTGATTTTAGTTGCTTCTTTGACTAAGGTCTTACCTGGCCCATGTAACTGTTGGGTCCTGCTGACATGAGCACACTGTTCTTGTCCTTTAAGGAAGACACCAGGGTCAGAAGCCAGAACAGGTCAAAAGCAAAGGTTTTTATGTGCCCCAGAAATCACATATACTTGTGCCGTTGGTTTTCACAGAAATCACACACCCACCTCCTGCATCCTTCTCTCACTGCTATTAAAATCCCAGTTGTACTAGCAAAACACAAGTAAGCAGTCATTCACTAATAATTCATGTTTCAATTCAGGTTTAAACCAAGTTCTGCAGCAATGCACAGCACATCAATGCCTGCTGTGAGTCATGACACAGCCAAGGAGGAACTGACCCGAACAGCCACATCAGTAATCGGAACTTGCATTTTTCACTCTACCTCACATATTGGTCATCCACACAGCCCAGTGCTGAAAAATGCATTTTATTTTAGGAACAGCTTTAATGCATCAGGAACTACAGTATGTTGATCTTCAAGCATATCAAAGGGACTCATTATCTTGACTACTTTGGTGAAAAAAGCATTCCTGAATGGAAACCCTGAAGTTTGCACAGAAGACAAAAGTACAAACAAAAGAAACAAACGCTGTCCTATTACCTAAAATTCTATTTTTTCAGTATTTTCAGATTGGCCTAGACTAATTGGCTGCAAGCATTGCCTAACTACTCACAAGAACATGTAGATTGTTTTCTGCTATAGCTGCTTTTTTTCCCCCACAAGTCAACAACTTTGCTACATATTAGTTACATGAAATTGCAGGAAACAAATTTATTGCACAGACAACCCTGAGAGTAGCCTTCCATGAGAGAAAGTTCTGATTGGGGATTAAATAGTTATCTGTGCCCTTACTTGCACATTGGACATGTGCACATATTAAGGCAAACAAACAAAGTCAACATGAATTAATTAGCACTTCAAGCACTGAGTGGCTATTGAAAGTAAAATAGATTTAATTTTCCTTCATGTTATAACCTAGACCAAATACTTTCATCAGCCTTAGCTTATAAATATTTGAAGAAGTTCGTGAGGTAACTTGAGAATAATTTCCACTGTGACATTTCTTTTCTTAGAAAATACCTTCTAACAGCTTTTGATGTTATTCGTACTCCCATCACTAAATCTCCTGCTGTGTGCTTTCTGGAAATAAAATATGCCATTGCACCCCATTTTATTCTTCCTGAAAGCCAAGATTCTGCTGTCCCAAGGTGGTCAACCTTCCACTGGCGTTTTCTCTGGGGTTACACCCCAAAGGTACAGATGCACAATCTGGCTTCAGCTTTTAGCCATCCAGCACTTCTTTAGGGGATAAAAACGTTAAGGAATAAAGGAATTATATCCCCTTCTATAGAATAACTTCAGAATATTCTTTTAGCAATGAGCTGTAGCTGTGAAATTCCCACCTTGTTTGCTAGAAAATTTCAGCTCGATCCACAGCTTTCAGCATCCATCCACCACCACAATGCATCCCACCTTCTCTACACGTCCCTCCTGCCCTTCTCTGACACTACTACTCTCTCCCTCTCAGATCCATGTGCAAACAGCTGCAAAACTTTTCCATTCATCCTTCACACATGTAGCAAGCCTACGCAGAAAGCACCCACATAAAGTCTATTTTCTCCACTTCATTATAAACCCATCCTTGAGCTGGTGCCTGAACACTGTTCCCCAGCTTCTTCCTTTCCTCAGGCTCTAAACAGAGCCACAGCATCTGGTTTTGCTTCCATTTCCTTCTATGCCCTTCAAATTTCCCAGCGTCCACTCCTTGTTACACATTATGCTCAGGCTCTTTTTTAAACTGCTCCTTGGGGAAACTGGTCTGCACTGGAGAACTGTGCACCAAATCCCAGTTACAAAAAAAGGGAAAAAAGTAAAATATGTCAACACATAATTAAAACTCCTTTGAAGTAAAAGTTACTAGAAAATTGCAAACCTTTAGGAAGTTATTAAATCTATTGCCAATTTTCTTTTGCTATTGCTTGCTTTCTTCCTAAGCACAGACAAATGAGAATATTTTAGCTGAAGTGTAAACAAAATAGACGCTAAAAACTAATAAAATCGGCTAATGCTATATTTTCATTTTTTCTAAATAATTTTCATACAAAAATATACATATATAAGTATAAATTACAGAAATGCATTAAAACCCTATTAAGCAATTTTCACTACCATTTCATCAGTCAATTTGACAATAATCAGAGTATTTTACAAATACTCTTGCACACTACAAAAAAGTCTGATTTGCCATCTGTATTCTATTCCCATTTTGAAAATTTGACTTTTTACCCCATTTTGAGCTATTCACTGCACTTCTGAGAAATGTGAATATAAAAAATTGCTAAACTTCCCTCCCCTTTCCTCTTTGACCATATTTATAGTCACTCATGTACAAAATACACAGAAAAAATAATTACTAACTTGACTCAAAGGTCTCAATTTCCTGCCACTTTCACATTTTAAACTTTTGACTTTTTTTTTAATCTTTCATTCAGCCATGAATACTTCCCCAAGGAGAAAAATATTCAAGTGCCTACAATTGCTTCTCTAGAATGATCTGTTCTGAGAGAGAAAAATCACAGCCCCAGAACAATCTTCTTTCACACGCTTAGTCTGTTATTAATACATTCATTCACTATGTACAAGCTTTTAATAAATAACTTATGTCTTAAATAACTGTAGTAGTTTTTACTAATTGAAAAGTTTAATATCAGGTTCCACCATTCTGTAGTCTTCAAAGTTGCATCCATATATAAATTAACATACAGAAAAATAATCCATTGTCTAAAAGACTGCACATCAAAATAGTACTTCCATGTCTGCTTTTAAAAGAATAGGTTTGTGACTTTATTTATACAAATTGAAACTTTATAGGGACATATACTCCTTAACCCAAGACTGTTAATGAAACAATTATTCAAAAATACGGTTTGTAACTAAGATTTCTGTACAATTTTGTACCTTTTTCAGACTCTTATATAGGCTTTACCATCAGGTTTTCAGTGCTGTGATATGCAGGTTTCAAATACTGCAAAGCATGTTTACAGACAGTACGTATTTCAATTATAGTAGCAGTCATATTACGAAAATAATTCTGGCTCAAATTTCAAAGTATCTGGGTAATATCCCTTTAAATCTGATATGCTATTGTAAGCATCACACCATCTGCACAGTTAAATTTTTGCTAACAACAAATTTTTAGAAATAATGACACATCTGAGGTGTGATCTGGTTTTATGAACTAAAGAGCAGCTTTCCCAAAGTTTAAGACAAATACAAAAAAAAAAAATATTGCACAGCTTAAAACACATTTTACATTCTGACTTCAATACAGTACAACTTAACCGTGAATGTAAGGAATTACCAGTTTGTATTGTAAGTTCAATTACTTGTGCCAGAAGGTCAAACATAATTTTAAAATTAAAACTAGTACGCTTAAAATGTTTACTTGTTACAGAAATTCTAAACAAACTTTTTAAAAGCTTTTGGAATCACTTTTGAGAGTCTGTAACTCCCACAAATCAACATTAAAAGTTCTGAGCAATACAGGTCATTCAACCCAATATTCCCTCAAAAAGCTATCAGACAGTAAGCACATTGTGAAGTATACATTTTTATTTAACATTCCTAAAATAAGCTGTATTTACATATTATATAAATGTATGAAGTCTTAATATAAAATAGAAAACTGCATTGACTGAGGAAATCACACTCCATATGGAGTTACTTACTGAAGACCATTTTAAATGAAATTTTACAATAATTTATATAAATTATCTCTTCCAAATTAGATGATTTTTCTTCTTACTAATTCACACAATTTTGATGACTTTACAAACAGTGGTGTACATTATAAACTTAAAAAAACAGTTACAGCATCTTCCGGCGCACAACTGGCTTTGGAAAATTAGACAGTCTTTTTTTGTTCTTTCTTAGGGTCTTCCCTGCTGCATCTGTAGTTTCTTTCTCTTTAGTTTTTGTTCCATCCACTGGACTTCCAAAAGGAGAGATGAATTTTATTTCGACTGGTGGAGGTGACCAAGAATCTTTTGTGGTTCTGAAAAGAAGGACAGGCATCAAATCAATTTTTCAGTACTAACAGTATTTAATTCAGAAAAAAAATGACACGGAATTCCAAAATCAATTAAAAAAAATGCATGGGCTTCTTTGTACATAGAATTAAGGTAGAAAAGGCACATAAATCTGTTTGTTTTGCTTTCATTCCCTTTATTCATTGTCTGGCCATCTCCCACCTTGTCTGAGAAGCTAAACTGGAAGAGTTTGAGTTCATAAGGTGGAATAAGACAATGTAAGAGCATTGCAATATCACCACTGCAATTAATATCCACCTGCCCTTTTTTATTCTTTCCCTTTTCCTTTTCCATTAGCAAACCAAACCTTCTTAAATGGGGAAAAGGTGCCTATTAAACTAGCAAGTTGGACAGGCTGATGGAGTGAGAGAAGACCTACATAGCCAAGTGTGGAAGAAGTAGTTGGGTATTTAACAGCTGAGTCACTATCACATGAAGAAATAACTGTTCAAAACTTATTTCATACTTGCTTGCTTTCTTAATTTTTGATTTTGGAGTTCTACCTCTCTTCAATTTTTCCTTTCCTCCGGACTCTATGGATTTGGTATCCTCTTCTTCTTTAGCTGGAAGCTCCTATGTTAGGACAACAAAAATGTTATTCATGAACAAGTTCATAGACTTCTATGGAATAATAATGGTTTTTCATTACAAAATCATGTCAAAGTTATTTCCAAAAGTACCCTTTGCTTTCAAAAACAAACCTTCCACATCAAATTATTTTACCATCCTAAAAGTTGAAATTCTGAAATTAAAAGATAACATACCAAGTAAGTTTAAAGAGAGCCACTGTGCCTTTTGCTGAAGGCAAAACAGTATTTATCAATTCTTGATTTACATAGATTCAAAACTGACTTTTGTATCTAGTTTTCATGAAGAAAAACAATAACATTTTTAGCTGATTCATTTCAAGATCTTTTTAAATATGTTTCCAATGAAAAAGGCAAAGCATTGCAAAGTACGATCCCAAAAAATGGTACAGAATTAAAATCAAGAACATGGGACAACTGGAGTTTTTACTTACTGCTTCTTTCACAATTCGGGAAATGCTAGCTACATTTTTTCTCCTTGACCTCAAAAGAGGAGGTGAAAAGACAAATTGAGAAGACAAATCCGGGTCTAAATCCTGAAACTTCACAGGATGGTCTGTTTTTCCAGCTAAAATGACAATGCATTGTTAGCATGCACATACACTATACATGAGGGACAGTAATATTGAATTACAGCTGACAAGAGCACAATAGCTTCCCAAAATAAAGGTCCAATCAGCTTTATAAACACTCCATGCAAAGGCATTTTCCCCCCTAGTAACTGCCTCTCGGAATTCATTCTTTTACCATAAAGTTAGTTTCACAAAACTAAGCCAATGTAATGATTTTACCTGCACTTACATAACCAAAGTTATTATACTCCAAAGGCATCAACAGTCCTTACACATCTCAAAAAAATTTATCATGTACTCTGATTAAAAGACTCCTGTGTACAGTAATTTCACTGACAAAGTACGCACTCATGAAAAAGAATCACATAATTAAACAGCTGTACAGTTTGTTGCAAGATGCAGCTCATCTGAACTTGAAAAGTGAACAGAATTTGAAACACACATCCTTTATTTTTCTATTGAGGGGAATGGGTGGCAATCATATATTCACAAATAATCTCTGGTTTTCAAAATCTGACAGAAATTAAGTTCCTTACAAAAATACAGCTTAAATTTAATTTCACAGCTTAGATCAGCTTCATAATCTATTTCTATCAGAACTAAGCAGGCAGTCACACAGACTTCAGCCAAAAGATGAACTGCCTCTTGGTGAATTTTTTCTTTTGCATGCTTACATTTTTTACAATACTTAAAGCCATCCTCACAGTTTGTTTTTGGTGGTTTAAAGAAGAGGGTATGCCCTCTTTTGCATATAAACATAGTGCGCCTACCTTCAAATTTCTTTGTGAGCTTTGTGAGAGGAGGAGAGAAAAGGAAAGCCTCATTTTCCTCAACAGACAGTTTCTGCTGGATGGCAGTCCTGCGGGATCTGGTTCTTGTAACACGATCTGTCAGAGCTCTTGATGTCTGATCAGGTCCTGAGGGGTTTATGTCTTCAAGCAGCAAAGGACTGCCACCAGGTCCTTGGGAGGTCTCCTCAGACATTGATCTCCTCTTCCTGCCCCGACGCCCTGTCCTCACCACAGTCCTGGGCGTGGCTGGTTCCTCATTTGGCTCTGCAGGAGCTTGTTCATGAGTATCCTCTTTTTCTGGGTTCTCCTGTGGCACTCTCCTAGTTTTTCTCTTAGGAGTACCAAGGGCTTCTACTTTCACACCTGAATGTGTGTCTTCCTGAGAAGAGGTAGACTCTGGGTCTGCCAAGAGGTTTTGTGCTGCCTTCCTAGCACTTCTTCTAGGCGTGACAGGAAGTTTAAATTCTGTTTGAGGAAGCGATGATTTAGACACATCAAGATCAGAATTTTCTGAAACTTCTGATGAGCTAATCTTTCTTCTTCTGCCTCTTTTACTTGGCACAGGTAAAAGGAGTTGGTCACTAAGCTGCACCTGTTGATCCTTTACAGTATCTTCAGTAAACTGTAAATTAAAGCTTTTCAATTTTCTTGCACTTCTGCTGGGACTGACTGCTGGTTTTACTTTATGATCAGTGTCAGTCTTGCCAGTTTCTGGATTTCCAACTGAACTTTTTCCTCCTTTAGTCCTTCTGGAATCAGAAGAAGCAATAATGCTGCCTTCAGCAAGAGGCGGTTGCTCATTAGCCTCTTCTTGGAGTTCAGATGCAGCTTCCTTTGCTCTCCTTAACCCTCTTCTGGGAGTAACAGGCTGTGTACTGTCAGACAAGGTCTGTCCATCAGAATGGCTGCTTTCTGTTTTTTCTAAATTAGACAGTTTAGGTTTCCTACCTCTCCTAGGAGTAACAGGTGTCACAGGTATTTTCTCCTCTTGAGCATTTTCCTCTGTTTGGAGCCTGGGAGTCTCAGATGCTTCTTTTGTTCGCCTGGTACTTCTCCGAGGAGACAGTCCGAGCAGAGCAGGGCTGTCAGTCTTCAGCAGCTGCTGAGTGCCTGCTGACAGAACACTCAGACTTCTACCCAGCTGTCCCCTTGTGCGGGTTCTTGGAGCAGTGCCATAATGATGCCTGCTGGTTTCCTCTCCCACTGCTTCTAACACAGGTGTTAAGGGAGCCTTTACCTTCTGGAATCTAGTTACCTTTTTACCTATGGTTTCATGAATTGATTGCTCTACAACTTCAGATGTAAATTCTTTACTTCTCGTGTCCTTGATTACATCCAGTAAGTTCTCAGCAATGGCAACCTTAATAGGTTCAGGCACATACGGGAGTGACTCTGCAATATTTTGAGATTCCTGATCGCCAGTTACAGTCGACACTGAATTTGTAACATGTTCCTGGTTTTCAGTATTCCCTAAATTGGTCAGAGGCTTTTCTTCTGTTGTTGTGTCATCTGGTTTAGAAGCATCTATTGATGTAGGGTCTCCCATCTCTGCTTCCCCTTCTTCTCCTTCCAAAACTAAGGTAAAATTATTCTGAGAGAGAAAAAGGTCTCCATCTCCCTCAGCTGCATCACATTCACTATCTTTATTATCAGGCAAATCACATGCAAACTGTTGCTCTATATTTTCATAGCTATAATGAAGAACTCTTGATGGATCTAGCTCATTATATGGTGATGTTTCAGGTGCTGGTTCTGAAGTATCTTCTATAACCTAAAGTTAAAAAATGTCTGTTAATACTTTATTCAATACCAAACTTCACACTGAGCTAGATGAAACTGACGACAGTTCCCTTAAGACCACCCTGAATGTGAAACAATGCACTTTTGTACACCAGCTAAGAGTTTATGTATTTGAGGCACAGGGACCAGAGCAGTCCCTGTGTGCAATTCACATGCTCCATTTCTGATATTTCTGTTCAGAATTGACCATTTGCCACTGCCATGACCAGGAGCAGTTTTCCAGCACAAGGTGTGTACACAGCCAGCAGTGCCCATAACATTGCAGTGTCCTCTGCACTGCTCCACAGTCAGAGTGCCCCACTGCCTCTTATAGGGTATATAAGTGCAATTGGTCCCCAATGCTTAAAGCTTCAGTCATGATAGTTCTGACAGTAGCATTTACATTGGCCAGGCATCACATCCAACAACTCAACACTGCAATTTGAGGAGTCACTTGGACTGCATGAGATAACATAACACATAGAGCTTCCATCTCTTCAAGAAATATCTTGACACCAAAATGAGTTCGCTAGTGGGAATTCTGTGTTTTAAGAAGGAACAAAGGATCTAAGCACCTAAATAAGCACCTAAGCACTCTTCTGAGTTTGGTTCCCACATATTTTTGTCCTTTGGTAACTGGTTACCAGTACAAAGAAGCTGCACTCCTGTAACTTTCTTATTCTCTTTAACATTACAACTAATTTTTAAGTAAAATAAAGTTTGAATTCAAGTAAATCAAATGAATGCCTAGCTGGTTTAAAAAAAAATTTAGGCTTTTATTTTGGTTTTATTTGCTCTCAAAGGTCTAAGTCTTGACAGGTCCCATTCATGTTATAGGAACAGAGAATGCAGAAGAAAAAAACTTATCTGCCCATACAACACTAAAGTTTTTAACTTGTGTTAAGCAGCTCAAGAAACAGACACATTTTTGAGTGTCTCCAAATTGTCAGTACAACAGGTCTGTCTCCTCAATTTGCAAACTGTTCTATTGCATAGAAAATGGGAAAATAGTTTACTTACATTAATTTCCTCAGTTTTTGGAGGATTGTTAGAAACAGGGACTTCTTCAGCTTCAGCTGCTTCAGGGTTACACTCTTCAGGTAAATCCACACGCTTGCCCTCAAGGCGATTTTGAGACGGAGTACTGACCATATCCTCACTGTCAAGGATACTTATCACAGCTAGAAGAGATTTATGTAATTTTACCTTAACCTTTATATAAATGATGTAAGTTTAAGCAAAAAGAAGTCACAGAGCTAGCAAGAGCCAACAATATGGTTCTCCATCCTGCCACATATATTGGGCTTTCTCCAAAAGCTAAAACTATTGTGTTGGTTTTGGCTGTGATAGTAATTTTCTTCATAGTAGCTGGTACTGCTCTGTTCTGGATTTGTGCTGAAGGCAGTGTTGATAACAGGGATGTTTTAGTAACTGCTGAGTAGCACCTATACAGAGCCAAAGCCTTTCTTGCTTCTCACACCATGCCAGTAGTGAGTGGTCTGGGGGTGCACAAGGAGATGGGAGGGGACACAGCCAGGACAGCTGATCCCAACTGACATCCCATAAAATATGGCATCATGTTCAGCATAAAAGGCAGGTGAAAGAAGGATGAATCAGGAGACATTAGAAGTTATGGTGTTTGTCTTCCTTCCCATGACCCATTTTCCTGCTTTCCTGGAGATGGCTGAACACCTGCTTGACAATGGGAAGTGGTGAATGTTTTGCCTGACTTGCATGCAAGACTTTTGCTTTCCCTATTAAGGTGTCTTTATCTCAACCCATGAGTTTTCTCACCTTTAGCTCTCTGATTCTCTCCCCCATTTACCCAGGGGAAATGAGTGAGTGGCTGTGTGGGGCTTAGTTGTCAACTAGGTTTAAACTGTGATAACTGCAGACTGGGTAAAGGATGCAGCCCCACAGCAAGGAAGAAGGAGGAGAAAATCAGTCAAGTCCATGGAGAGGAAACAAAGAGGAAAATGTGGCTGCAAAGGCACACTGGTAGACAGTTGCTTCAGTCTGAAAACTGAGGATGCATCATCTTTTAAAATAGTAAATCAAGCAGCAGATCCCATGGCACACAAATTGGTAGTGGTGTACAACATTAAGATAAACACTGATCTCTCCTTATAATACTTTAAGTTCTACCAGCATCTCAATATTTTGATCAAGAACTAAAAGATTCACTATGCACTTTCTCCAAGGACTTTCTTTAAGGAGGGTGTTCTCTCTACAGTCTAATGTAAGTTAGCAGTAACATGCTACTACTATTTCAATCTGAGACACCTACAGTGGTGTGGTAAACTACACATTTCACTTGAGGAGCTCTGCTACCCTACCACACAGAACATTTCCAACATACATTCACTGTCTGCCTCCGGGGATTCAGCAAGCTGTTGATTTGTTGCAACCAGTATGGCTTTTTCTTCTGATGAAGAGGTCATTTCAGACTCCTGGTAGGTTTTTTCACTTCATGAAAAGAGAGAAATTCATCATAAAGCTTGAAAACACACCTTTAAGAGTGTTAGAAGTTACTTTCTCACTATACAATCTTCAAATTTCAAATTTCAAATTACAAAAATACAAGAAAAATCAGAAATTCCTCCATCAACATATTCAATTTATGACTAAATTGGTAATTCACTTTGTAACTCATTTTATGCAGCTAATAAAGTACTTAACATTCTTTCCAACTATCCAACACTGGATAAAAATATAACAGAGGTATATTACAGAGTAATGTATTATTTATCTTCTGTAGAAAGAGGGCAACTACAATAAGAGGTTCAGAACCAACTGAACAGAAGTCTGTACAGGTGAAAGTTACCACTTGAAACTAAGGGTTTTCTCATTGCTGACATTCTGTCTTTATCACTCAGCAGTTGCAGCTTTTAAAGAACCTGGTGAGAAAACGGCTTCCCTTCCCATAAACAAATAGATGCTAGTGAGCACACACAGAAAACAGAAATTACATGTAAAAAATACTGGCAGAAAGCATTCAAACTCCAAAATAAACCCACTGAAGTTACAGAAATCTCAGGATTCATTTTTAACTACATAATTCTCAGAAAAAAAATCTCCAAAAAACTTATGTTCACAGTATCTGCTTAGTAACTCTCACTAGGTCTCTATGGGACTGTTGAATGAACTCTTTATCATCATACTTTATGGTCTGCAATAATTTGAGAAAAAAGGCTCAAATTGACAGCTAGACAATATGCATTGCATTCATGCCAGATTTCTTTTGGTCACAGACAGAATGAAATAGACAAGCCCTTACAAATAAGAACACAGTAAAGAACTAATCCCAGGTCAAAATCAGTTTTCAAACACAGAAAAGCCAGCAGCTATATGTTGTGTGAACCCAAAGATGTATCTACTTCATAAGCTCACCCTTCATTTCCAGTCCCAGAAGTTGCAGCCTCAGCAGCTTTAAACACCGACTTATACTCAGGAAGGGTATGATATCCAGCATTTGATTCTTCCACAAATCCTACAAAAATGAAGAGATGGATGACTTCCCTGTTGCACTCAATTATCACTTCTTTTCAACTGCTTATATAGTTTAAAGTGATCCTTTATGCATTTCACCGAGGATAGGGACTTAACAAAATAACGCTACCAAGACTTCAAGTGCACAGATGGCCTGTGTTCTTCTTTCCAGTAGAACAAGAAACCTGATGCATCATTTCAGTCAAAAAATGTAAAAATTACTGCAAATTATAGAAGTACTCCTAAAACATAACCAGAAGTCAAAGTTTTAATGTGTATTTCTTTCAAAACTTCCACACTGCTGCCTTTCAGCTGCAACTACACAAAAAAATGTCAGCCAAGGAAAGTATACATTTATAAGGTCCAGGATACCTAAAAAAGGACTTAAAATATAGAGGTAATTTTAAAAGCTTAGAGCACTTGTGAAAACTCATCATTAAATACTGCACTCTTCAGGAATTCAATCTTTTGACGATATTTAAAAAATTCAGGAACTTAAATTATCACAGCATGAAACATACCTGCTTCTTTTCTTTGTCCTGAAGGATCTGGTTGTTTCATCTGGAAAGGTTTATCTTCAACCATTTCACTTTCTTCCTCCTTCTCCAATTCCTGAACGTCAACAGTTTCTTCAGTGGAAGAATTAGCTGGTTTAGCAGCTATAAAGATGACATCATCTTCAAAATCACGAGGTGATTTTGCATCATGATACTCCAAAGTAGTCTGGTCTGATCTGACAGAGAAGTTACTATTTTCCTTGCTGACATCCATTTTCTCCAAATCATCTGCAGGTATGCTTTCCGAAGATTCCTGCAATTCAGCATGACCATCCCCAAGATCGCTCAGAGTAAACAGAGTTGGTTTCGCTCTACTTTCAGACCAAGCATCCTCTACCAAGCCATGATGATGCTCAGATGAAGCTCCAAATAGTGCCTTATTGTCTTCTGTCACCTAAAATAAAGGTTCAGATCGGCAACATGAGCCTGCTTGTTGTCAAAGCAAAACAAAAAAATCCAACAAATACTGACATTTTTAAGTTCCACATGTCCCCTTAGTGAGGCAATGAAAAATTAATTCTCATTCTAGCATTATCTTAGATTTAAGGCTGAGTGAAAAAATTAATTACACTTTAGACTGCTTATTGAGTTTCCATGACATTAAAGAATTAGGATTAAATCAGTCTTGCTCAATGTCATTTCAAGGCTCTTCACTGGATTTACTTGTGTGTTTTTGGAAAGACAAAGCTTTGCCTAGTAAAACCCTAACTCAAGATTTCTCTACTTTATGGTTGCCCGTTCAAGAAACACATATGCACTACTAAAATATGCTGGTGTTCAGCTATGCCTGTGGCATGGAACAAGCAAATTAATCTGGCCATAGTGCCAATACTAGTAAGAATTTCATGCAGGAGAGAGTACATCTTGTTACAATTGAGTAGCTCATTGTAAACACGCACCAGCTACTCACACATGGGATAGCAGCACATGCCTCTGGTGTGCCACTCATTTGGGTACATTATGCTGGCAACTGGCTGATGGGCTGAACCACAGAACCCAGCTACTGTACAGCTGCAGGAGCAGAAGGGACCTCAGCTGGTCAGATGGACCCAGTGCATTTGAAAACTACATGGATGCTATATCCCTGGTGCAAGGCAAGAAGCAAACCTGAGAACTTCAGGCCTGAGAAAACAAAACACTGCAGGTTCTCTTCATCACGGGTCTCTTTTTACCAACATTTAAGTAAATCCAAGGTTGCAAAACGACAGGTTGAGAGTCAGTGCATCTTTATGACTTCTGTTACTTTCCCAGATGTTCAATTTACAAAATTTAACAAATCCAAACAAGAGGCTCCATCTATATTCCTTACCTTCCTGCAACAGTACCATTTGAAAAGGTACAGCTGAAAGGTGAACTAACATTCTGAACATCTGAGTAAAACCCACCATGGTCCCTTGATGCTTATTATGAATATGTTCCTGCAAGAACATGATGTTACAAAATGTCTAGCACAAAACAATCTTTTTTTTTTTTTTTTACCAAATTCTGCCAATCTGATTTGCAATCCAGATTCTCAGTATAAGAAGTTTTGGCAAACAGAAGTCTAAATTAAATCACAGCATTATCTGCAAAATTCACTAACTGCAGTCCAGCTTACCCCAACTGTCCACTTTGCTTGTGAGCTCTCTTCCCTGAAAGAAATTCTAGGTTCCTTTGCTCGTAGAGGAGGAGTAACTGATCGTCCTGGGGATGCAGAGGGAGTTGCTAGGGGTGTAGTGCGAAGGCTGGACCTGAGAATAGACTGAGGAGTAAACCCAGGAAAACCGGAAGATGTGGCCAAAACTTTAGCTCTCTAAGAAAAGAAATAAAAACACTTAATTTAGCACCAGGTAAATCCTCAAAACAGAAGACTGTGCTTAAATTACAAAAATTTAATTACCCTAAATTATGAACTGGGTTTATAGCAACAAAGTTTTTCCTCTGCACTGTTCTTCCAAACATACCAGCATTTTAAAGACAAAAAGGCATGCTTTTTGTATTTCCCTTTGTTTGTCTTTGTAATGCCAACAAAATAAAAGTTAATTTAAAAAACTACTTCTTCAGGAAGCAAGGATATGACATCTTGTTTTCTGCAAGGTTATCTCTTATCCCACTAATTTTTGCAATTCCTACACTGCTCTTATAACGGCACACAACTTCACTCTGCACAATAGCGTTTTCAGTCACTGCATCTGACAGCCCTTCTGCAAAGAAATAGACAACAACTTTTTTCATTAATTAATCAGCTGCACACAATAGGAAGTGACACTGCTGCAGAAATACCTACACATCTTTATGTAGAAGCATTCAGATGTTTTTATCTCAGATTATTTTACGGTATTGAAAGGGTTCAAAAGAGGAGGATGAAGCTAGTTCATTTGTATGGATGGTACTTCACAAGAAGGTGAAAAGATGCAATTATTCCATACAATAAAAACAAATTTAGTTCACAAAGCTATGGGACATGCTGTCTACTGCAATCAGCTGAGAATTAAAGTTTCCTGCCTTAAGACTTTTCCCAACTTACTGCTTCCAAAAGGGCTGTGTATGTAATAACCACATGCATACTGAAAATTTCAATCCAGGAGGACTTCTACTAAATATCTTGGTGATTTCACTTAAAACGAACCTCAGACGTTCTTCATTTGGTTGGTTGCTACTGACTTCATAAAATACAAACCTTGACCACACGAGGAGTTTCCAATAAATTCAACTCTGATGCTCTTGGCAGATTGTTTTGGGAGCTGGAGCGATGTCTATTTGATCTCAGGGGGCTGGATGCCACAAAAGACGTAGAAGCTCTGCACGGGGACTGCCAGCTCTCATCCGGTGCCACAGAGCGGGAAGGAACAGGACGAACCACCAAATCCAGCAACCTGTTAAAATACTCATTTTAAACTAGGAACACGAGTAAATAAATGAAAAAAATCATGCTGTGATCATCTCAGATGATGCAGAACAAAAACACTGGATGAACAAGAAATACAACCTGACTGCAGGGGGTGATCTATCAGTCCCACAAAAAACTGACAGGCACTTTGGGGCATTTTTTTCATTACTTCTTTACATTTCATACCTAATTTCCTAAATCCCTGCCTCTGACATAAGAATTCCCAATTTTATGCTGCACAAGTGACCTAATTCTCAGCAGTGGAGAAAACTCATCTACATTTCAATGCAGGGACGATTTCAAATTGTGTACCTAATTTTGTCCCTAAGTTGACTTTTTCTTTGAGATACAAAACTAAATTCAACAGAATCCTTGGTAAACCAAAAAAGCATACACACATGCACATGTATATACATGATAAACAATACAATTTTGAAATACAAAGTCTGTAGATCTACTATACCTTGAACACTTTTGAGAAAGTTTTGTAATAGGTGTCCCAAGAAATGCATCAGGCCACTCTGCACCACGGAGAGGATGTGTACTGACTACAGGCTCTGTAGTTCTAGGACTAGAAGGAAAATGAAAACGTAATTGATTTTCAAACCCTCAAAGTCCAGTCACACCAGAATTAAAGTTTATTTAACTACATCTTATGTAGGACAGTCACCTCACAATTATAAGCCTCTTCCCCACTGTTAGTAATTCTGCTTATTTTTAAATAACCAAGTAGGACTGGTAAAAGATTACTATGTGATCACACAAATGAGTCTATAAAGTCTACAGTACAGCAAGAGCTGCATTGTAGTGACAAACAGTTGGAGTTTCAACTTCTTAAACACTGTAAACTCATTTGCCATAATGTAAATACATGCATTTGTATAGAGAAGATTATCATAGCAGAAAAACTCTCCAAACACTACACAGGGGGACATGATTGTTAGCTGTTATATATGTGTAGAAAGGCAAAACAAAGCTTTATTCGTGTCCACCTTCCCACCAAAAAACTAACACAATTCAAACTAAAATCACTTTCTCTCCCCCTACAACTCACTCTCCTCTCCACCTCCCTCTCCAAATACAGAGCTTAAGAGTAACTTTTATAAAAGGCTGCTTACCTATCATACTGAGAGATATTTGTTTTCTGCTCATTTCCTGACCATACTTCTCCAATTTTGGACAACACTTTACTGATGAAAGTTGCTCTCGTATGCACATTTCCTGCATTAGCCTGCCTTGTTGCTGTTGATAATGGCTTTGGCCTTGGGACTGTAAAGCACAAGATGGAAAAGTATCAGCCTTGTGTAATCCAAGCGGTGGCCGGTTGCACATCCTATTTCCCTTCTCTAAAATTACCTTCTCTTAGGACCGATGAAGGCAAACGGTACGGCTTGGCTCTCTCTACTGCCAGCTTCCTCTGAACTGTGGGAAGGATCTTGCCATATTGGTCTAACAGAGAATTTCTGGCAACTGCTCTCTCCCTCAAGCGAGGATCACGATCGTTCTGACAAAGGACATGTGTAAAGCAAGAAGTTAACAATTCACCAGAAGTTCACTGCACAGAACTGTCTCTGCTCTTTCCAACTAAGGCCTAAATTTGCTCTACAGACAAAGGAGAACAAATCCACTGCACACAACCACAGCAAGTTCCACCCAGGAGCACGCACCAAATTCACCTGGTAGTTTTGGATAAGTGCAAGAAAGACTAGTAAAAAAACCCACAAACATAAACAACTCCAAAACTCAGAACTAACACCTGTAAGGCAGATTTCACCTGTGAAACATCTAGACTGCTCTCAGGTAAAAGCAAGATACAAGACATGACATACAACATATTTTTCATTCCACAGAAACAAGTAACACAAACACCTTCCATAACCTAAACCACACATAACAGCAGGATCCGAGGAACTGAATGAAAAGACGAGATATATATTTATTCCTCAGATGCAAACAAACTTTTTAAACTGGAATCAACTATGGTCTGTAAGTTTAAATTCATAATTTCACTCAGCAGGACTGCTACCCTTACCATCAGATTGGCCTTCATGGACTGATTCAGCTGGAGTGCTGGGATGTAGTTGGCACGCTGCAGATGGTGGATTAGGAGGAATTCATGATTCTGAACACCAGATTTGGTCTGCAAAAACTTCTCCAAACACTCCTGTGAGAAATAACATGTTTCAAACATTGGTTACCATTCTGCCTCTCTCTCGCCAAAGAGGCCATTAAGATTTTTTTGTTACTTCTCCAAACTCACTTTTTCTGTTTCTGTGAAGGGCAGCTTCAGCAAATCCTCCATCAGCCCCATCTCCTGACAGATTTCATACATGTGCTTGAGCAGCTCTTCTATGTTTAACTTCGTGGTGTGCTGCTGCAACAGACCCCAAGCCTCCACCATGCACCTGCAGTTAAGGTTTAGGAAATGGAAAGGAATGGGAACGCCAAAGCCAAAAAGATGCCCCACAGTGATGGTATTCATTCAAGGCTCAAAGGAAATGGAGGGGAGCCCCATTTGTGTCATCAGTTCTCCACATTTCCCAATATGTGAATGCCAAAACAGTGGGAGATTTCCTTACCTATTGGACAACAACACGGTGAGGAAGAGCCGCACTTCACTGCTGCTGGACATCGACGGCTTCATCATCTGCAGGTACCTGAGGGCTCGCCTGTGCTCTCCCTGGCACATGAGGGACTGAATTATCCTCATGTGTTGCCATGACACAGTCTTGATTGTAGCTGGATGGAAGAGCAGGGCCAGGGAATTCTGCACAAGTTGAGAGCAGCTTCATTACCATGGATACACACACACCCCCATGCAACAAAAAGTCAGAACTTTCTGCAGCAAGGCTGGACGTGGGCTAGACCTACTTAGATATCTAAATAACGAAATACTTGATCCAGGACATATCAGGAAAAATTCTTCAGTATTTGCAGGGAAAAAAATGTCAGCCACCAAGAACAAAGTGAATGTATTAGGATGAGCAATCCAGGTCTTTCTAAGTTTACAAAACCCTGTGTACAGACATTGCTTTTAATGAATACATTACTTGATAACTTAGGCAATAAAAAAATTGGTTGTATTGACACAGTGAAAAGAACAACATTCAGTATGAGGAAGAATAGTTCTTAGGTTGAAATGTCACTCCTGCAGTCTTTAGTCTCAAATATTCCTGCTATCATCACAGCTTCCATGATTCAAGTATCAAAACACTCTTCTAGAAACAGTGCCCAACCAGTCTGCTAAAAACCTAACTGAAGACAGCTTTGAAAATTCAATTATTAAGCATTATTAAAGCTGATTACTCCATTGTTTTAATAAATTTCCTCTCAAAGTAGTTAAAGCAAAATTTCAAATCATAACTTGTTGCTGAAGATGTCAGACCAGTGTTACAAAAAAGTTTCCAATGCTTCAATAGCTCATTATACCTAAGTAACAATTTAAAAAATAATTTCACTGATTGCAGTTTAGCAGTGCAGTATGTGTCTAACTCAACTGTTTCATACTTACTTCATAATCATTGTGATCTAGGAGCCAAAACCCTTGAATCAGCTTAACAAGACCCCAAGGGATAGCAAAGGCAGTTGGAAAGGAGTCAATAGAAGTCTCTGTTTTATTTGGAAAGGAATGCATAATATCCAGCAGCAAGTAAATTGTCTGAGAATATCTAATTAAGGTGAATAAATTGCTAAGATAAAAACTTGTATCACATTACATTTGGCAAAACATTGAAATAAGAATATGAAAATAGTAGAAAGCAGAACATCCCAAGGTACTGATCTTGCCATTTTAAGCTATTACAACCCATTATATCAACAGTCAGGTCCTAATCACAGAACTGTATCCTGAATATACTTCCAGAAAGAAACACTTGTGGATTTCTGGAAGGCAATCAAAAAGGCAGCTATTGGGTGTTTATATACTCAGGCTGTTATAAACTCAGGCTTCTGCTTCCATCACTGAAGCTACCAGCTGGACACTCAACACACTTCCACATCCAATGCTTAATTATTAAAGAAAACAAGCTCTACAGCTGTTTTATCCTCCTCATTTCCTGTCTTCACAAGACCAACACAAATTATGGTGCCTTTACAATGCAACTTAGCACTGCCTGACTGAAACTGAGTTCAAACTGCATGTGGAACCCTCACTCAAAGTGTCATCCTCCCTTTCTGACATCCCATGCTAGGGACGTGTCTGAGTAAAGCAGCTTGGGACTACAACCATTTTTAACCCTTTGCTCTCCAGGCTCCCTTCCCGGTTTAGCCAAGAAAGGCAAGTCTGCATGTTCCAGCAGCTTAAAAATCAGGCTTCAGACCAATGACTGTTCTCAAACCCCCCTTTATTATTCTGTGTGCTTATACTTTTTACACAAAAAAAGAGCAAACACTGTTAACTGGGCTGGGAAACAAATGATTTTGGCAAAAATCAGCAACTGGAAACCACTGTTACAAACTCTTTTGTTCTGAAGCAGCACATTTTAGGCACTTTTCTAACACACAGTCCTTTGCCACAGAATGGTGTGCTTTAAAACTTAAAAATTATTACATTTTAAGAGAAACTAAGCAAGGTTTTTATCTTGAATATTTTAGGGAACCTGTTTTCTTGTATCAGAAAAGAATCTGCAAAAAAATCACACAGGTGACAAACATGTAAGAACATTTATGTGCACAGACTGAAGGAGAGATAACAGATTCTGGAAAGGATACAATTGCATGTTTGTCGCTTTCATCAATGCTTTCTAGCAAATAGAGATCCAGCAGTGCCTGAAATGAAAGATTAAAAGGTTTTCTAATGCTCCTGTCTTTCGCAATCAATGGCTTTAGGGGACTGCTGCTGCTGCTGGGGTTTGCAGTGAACAGAACACTCACATGTAAACTAACAGGTGGGTATTTCCCAGTGCCGCCTTCATCCCTCTGCCACAACTTCTCCACTTCCTCTCCCAACTGGGAAACCATTCCATCAATCATCAAGCAATCAGAATCCCATTTGCCTCTGCAACAAAAGGGAGCAAGGGCTTGCACAGTGTAAAACATTCATTCCAGCCTGTCAGTGTCACAGATTTTGGAGTCAGAGGAATGATGGTCCTTAGCTCACAATGAACTTCTTAATTAAGGAGTCCAAAGCACAAACCCAAGAGAAGAGCTGCATTTTGGGTTCCAGGCTTGCTTTCTTGCTCTGTTATGTGTAATGCCAAGGAAGGCAGACAAAGGGTTTTAACTGCAAAAATAACCACTCTCACACAGTCTAACAGTGGCAGCTTTCTAGAGAATTCCTCTGAGCCTTACCTTGATAAGCGCTCGAGTTTCTCTCGGTGACCCGTATAGTAGCTCTGAATCAAAGGGTAATTGTAGAAAGGTCTGGACAAATGCATGTGATCATCTACAGGTAATAAAAGTAAAAGCAAGTTAAGAAGTAAGACCACATTTTTCAACTAAAACTTTGGTCTAGACAGACAGGAATCACACAACCTCAAGTTTTGCTACTACAGGTTCCGCTTACCTAAACCCTCGGGAAGAAGACTGGACCGACAAAACCAGATCACCACTTGTGCATACAAAGAAATGAGGCTGGTTACCATCTGCTTATTTGTCAAGTCTGTAAAACCTGAAAAAAAGACACAAGATGATTTGGATATTGCAATTCCTCCCCCTTTTACAAATCTCCCATCAGCAGCACAAACACAAAGTATAAAACACCACGGTGGAACTCTTCTTACTTTTAGTTGTCCTTCTGGATCAATTATGAAGTTGAAGGAAAAAAACCACTGTTTGCCCTCAAAACAAAAACCCATCACTACAAAGAAACGGAATCACTAAAGATTAAAATTGAAAAATAAAGCCTTATCTATTAGATAAGGAAGGAAGGAAGGAAGAAGACTGGTTTTTGTCATGTAGCAGAGATTTTTAGTTTAGCAAAAGAAATTATAGTCCTCTTTTTCCCTCAATATGCCAACAACAATTTATAAAATCAGAAGCCAAAAGAACTCAAGGAACTTCCCTTACACGTTACACATTTCAGCTTCCATTGTATTTCCCAGCAATCTGCACACAACTATCAATTGCTAGCTAACACTTAGGAACACTTCTCAGCATTACCACACTCGGGTACTGTAAATGCTGCCCAGGTTCTCACTCAGCTCAGTGCTGAACCAGTGCAGCCTCCCCTACCCAGTCTCATGAACTCCACAAGAAGCTGCTCCCCTGAACTCAAAGCAGCTTAAATCAAAGTCCCAGCTTCTCAGATTTAAGCCTCTCCTCCCAGCTCAACTCAACCATCCAAAACAACAACAGCTCCTCTTACAACCCAAGCACGCTGCCAAATCCTAACAATCAGACCAAAGGCCTAGCAGTGCTCTCACCAACCTTTCTCAGTCAGCTCTCGGGCTTCTGTTAGGAAACAGTTCAGGACTGTGCTGAGGTTGCTCAGCAGCAGCTGGCAGTGCTGAAGGGACTGTAATGTCTGTGGGTCAATGAAGTTGCAGGAGCCGTCAAACAGCGGAACACCTGGTCAAGGAGAAATAGTAAATCATCACTCAGCAGAGCAACTGCACACTTCCACACTTAAACACTTCAACAACCACAAGAGACATAAAGAACCACTTAAAGAACCAGCAGCATACACTGGCAGATCAGTGAAGAAGATCCTTTACAATGCACAGGCATGCACAGACATGGAAAAGAATGTAGCAGCTTGTTCAAGCTCAGACATTTCTTTCAGGTGAAAAGAACCTGCAACAAATTTTTCTTTCCTCTATTTTTTTTTTAACCAATTTTAAAAGTTTGCATTCTAAGTAAAATCGTGACATGTAACAGCGATTTCTACATATTAGAAGACATACAGGATATTTCCATCATCTTCTGACAATGCATTTCAGACAAGGAAACATGCCAAATTCTACTAAGGGTACCAAACAAAATTCCAAGTTATTTGACCCTAATTCCGAATTTTTTCTTTCTAGTGTTCCAAAGCAATCCCTGCTTGAAGCAGTCTCTGAATATAGTCACAATTCAGCAAAGGTCATCATAAAATTTCTTGCTTTCCCACGTAATTTCCCAGCAGAGCTGACATCAGAAAATCTAATCAGAATGTAAAAGCCTACATCAGGCTTGTAAAATAAGCATTCTATGGGGCTGGGTCTGCTAGCCAAATTTGTTTTAGCTACCACATTATGCAGAAGTGTTATTTTTCCTGACATATTTCCACAGTCTGGTGAAGAATCCCATATACAGGAAGATGAAGGCAGGGGGAAGATTGCTCTCCCCCTTTGTAGCGCTTGCTGCTCCACTCCATGATTACCATCCAACCCTTCAGCTTTGACCCTGCCTGGAGAAAGATGGGCTGTTCATCACAAAGGCTCCTTCTTTAATGAAACTCTTCAGATGGGAAACAAAGTTTGCTGCACTGAAAATGAAAAACTCCGGAGAGAGGGGTGTGAAGCCACTGCGGTGACAGACAGAATGTAGCAGTGTTGAGAGACACAGGTGATGCAGGTGCTGCAGCAAGAGGGCAGTCTAAGAGGAGGAAATCGAGCAACCACAGCTCAAGGCAAAGGCTACAGAGGTAAAGGTCAGTTTTGACAGGGTGCAGAAAAACCTGCTGATAAGGGAAAATGAGGGGAAGTGGTGATGCAACTGTCAGGTAGAGAGCACCATTATAACTGTTTAGCACTTCCTGATGCACATGCCCAGCACTGACCGAATGCTTCCGCATGCGGACCTCGGGCATGGAATTTACAGACAGGTCACTGAAGACAAACTTCTCAGGGCTGTTCACAGCCAGAAGACTGGATCTAAGAATATTATTATTTCTGCTAACTGTATGTCAAAACCTGCCTCTCAGAGCAGCTTGCAATCAAAAACCATGGTCTTAACCTACCTCAGTGAGTCTGGCATTTGAGCATGATACCAGCGATTGATGTCAAACACTCCCAAATAAGTAGATGGTTTTCCCTGACCATAGGTATTTACTTGCCAACTGAAGATTGATACACTGGTGTCAGGAGAGATTACTGTCAAAGACAAGACATTGTTTCTTGTTGTAGAAAATGAGATATTTGCTGTTTTCAAAATATCACTTTCTATTTTGGCTTAATTCTGTTATTTCACTCATGAAACACAACACTTTATTAAGAATGATAAAAACAATATAGAGTAGCAAACATCCATCTGATAGGTTTTAATCATACTGTCTCTTTTTCTTGTTCAAATTGTATTGGTTCCAAAACAAACCAAATACACAATTATTAGCTCACCAAGGTGTTCATCCAGATAATCAAAAAAAGGTATCAAATAGAACTGGCTACAGTTCTGAGCCCTGGGAACACCACTAGTGACCAGGCGCTAAATGGATGCAGCCAGAGGTTTGAGCAGGAAAAAAAAAATCAGGTAACATTCCTAAGCAATAGACAGAATGATCTTACTGTGCAATGCAGACAACTGGCAGAACAAACTGACTGACCAGCCTTATACTGATGATCCCATATACTCCTCTAGCATCCCAGCAAACATAAAATAAAAACTACTTTTCCCCTTAAATAGTGATGTTCAGAGGGATAGGAAGCCTCACATAACTTAAGCACACAGGTTTTTTTAGTAAGCCCAACAAGGTCAGTTAGATAAATATTTAAGACTTTAAGACCGTGGGTACAGACCAGCATTCATTGCTTAGATTTCCAAGCCATGTAGTTCAGAATAACCAAGCAGGGACATCAGAACAAACCTTCATTAACGCCGTCCTCTCTGTCAGCATGGTTGCGAAATTTTTCTATGGTCTGACAGCTGAGTAATTTAGTATTGCTGGTCTGCCCTCTCAAGGGAAAGATTCCACCACTGAGATCTAAACTGTACCTTTCATCACAGTATTCCAAACCCTAGGCGGGGGAAGAAGAAAAAAAAAAAAAGGGTAATTAGATCCACTAAGAAAGAATGCTTATAGCGAATGTAACATGCATATTGTATTGTTTATTTCTAATGAACTTATTTCTGATAGCAAATAAAAACTACATCTGACATTCAAGAGAATGAAGTGTCAAAATTTAACAGATACTGGCTGAAAAGGCTTTGCACATTTTCAAATATTAGCATCTCCTTAGCAAAACTTTGCTCTGAAGCATGCACAGTTCATGCCATTTTATTAAGGAATTTTGGAAGTAACAGATATATGCAGGACAGATAAGAAAAATCAAACCCTTCTTTTTGAAAAACTAACATGAAGCCTAAGCAAAGAACCTCATCTTCATTTTAGGATAACTAATAACTAAAACCAGTTTTAACAGAGATGATGTCCTGAACAAGAACTTCACCATTCCAAAAGACAGTTCCACAAGATAAAGCACTAAAATTCCACAAACCTGTCCAGCATTTATTTTAATTACTAGAAATTTCAGCTTTCATTCCTATATGAAGAGCCACTCCCACATAAATTCAGTGCAGAAGGGAAGGAGAAAGTAATACCAAATAGGTCCTGCCAAAGACAACTTCCTAACCCAAGCTGCATATTTTAAGTTTTCCACACTGGGGCAAGCAAATCTAAGTTTAGGAACTCTAGCACACAGTATATATTAAGAAATGACGTTCCAGACCAGTTAAACAGGACAGTGTTCAAAGGAGTTACACTGGTCAGACTCTGCCATGAACACAGAGATTGTACTCAAGCCTTGTGCAGAACAAAGGTAAGGAATGCTCCAGGAGCATGAACTGAACTGCAAGATACAGCAGCTGCTGAGATCATCTAAAAGAGGTCTTTGGAAGTCTAATTGAAGCGTATCTTTCAGTTTTCTTACCTGAGCAGATGTAAACCAGCCTTGAAGGCAACGGAGACTCAAGCCTGACACATGTTTATAAAAACACAGTGCCACATGTTGCACAAGTTCCATTTGTGACTTTTACCACAATATCAAGTCAAAGATGCATTGTTTCATAGCCTCAAGTCTGCTTACTGGGATGTACAGCACTGATGTAAGCAGACTAGTGTTTTAAGCTCCTGTGACTACTACTCAGTGAACAAGGAGCAGCAGTAGACTAATTTCTCCTTTTCTACTTAAGCTTGGCCTGGAAAATGGGAACAACTCTTAAATTTTATGTCATTGAAGACCGACAAGAAGCTTGATTCAGTCGTGCAGGCAGAGAGCCATCATGTCATACTGACCTATCTGTGACCACTAGAAGTAATACACTTCAGTGTCCACTGGTGAGCACAGATCCTATCGTGATGCATCCTTTGCAAAGGGATTAAGAAGTGTTTTGTGGGGATTTTTTGGAAGTAGATGCTATCAGGTCTCAGCATGAAAGTACATGATTAAGTGGTTTATCTGTACGCCAACTGAAGAACCTGTCTTTCCTCCTCAGAGGGTGCAGATGTTCAGCTCTCTTCAACAGCCTTCTAAGACTGGTTCTTGTTATAATCTTTCAACGTGCCTGTGAATGTACTACTGGTCATATAGTCTGTAGAGGGGTCCAAGTCTTACTTTAACTACACCACAGGTTTTTCAGGTCACAAACACAGTAACATTTTTTATCACTTTGTGTGCTTTTTTTTTTTTAAGAGTGTCAACTGGAATTTCTAGTAAATCCATTTTTAAAGACTGATTAAACATTTCAACTCTCTGAGGTATAAACTGATATTTGTCATATCTTCAGAAAAGACAACCAAGACAAATAACTGCCAAATAGTTAAAGGTCTCACATTTTAACATTAAATTGTTCAGATGGAAAAAAGTAGTAGCCATGAGGGAAATAGAGACAACTGTTTTTTCCCAATGCAGCACACAGTAAAAGGTATTGTCCTTGTCACTGCTAAGACATAGCTAAAAATTTCTTTTAAGAGGATAAAACAAAAGAGGATATTTAAGAGGATAAAACAAAACTGAAATTCAAAAGCAAATCTTGAGAAGATTAAAGAAACTTTCTCCTATCAACCTGTAAAAGTGCTTAGAGCAATACAAGATGCAGAGTGAACTGCAGTGAAAATCCTTAAAAAAACCGAAAACCAAACACCAAAAACCCACAAGCAAACGAGGTGTTCTGCTCCTCTAGAGTACTGTATATTTTTGTCACTTAAAAACTGCACAGGAAGATATGAGATGCATATTCAGACATGTTGAACCACTTGAAGGTATTTCTACTTCATCACCATGACAGATGATGTATTTTAAAGAAACACCACCTCCTCCCAACACCTAACCTTTATCTGTTCAAAAGCAACACTTCCAAAGCAGGAAGGCCCTTTCCTACAGACAAAAGGAAAAAAGCATAAAATTCAAACTCATTCAAAAAATTCACAACTCAAAAGTCCCTATAAAAAAATAATCTTTGAACCAAATCCAAGGATTACCTCAATTTTGTTTTGTACTACTGAGAATATACAAGGGCAAGTGTCAAATAGGAGGAAAGACTTGCTGTGAATTAAGATTACTTTCCCATCAAAAAGATCTTGGTAGAGTTTCATGCATACTGCTGAATAGAATTAAACATTACAGAGGTGCCTCTTGTCTCTGTTAGATTATCTGAGACCTAATAATACCTCTTCTATATTTTATCTGTTCTACACCATCTCTGGTGTAGAACAGATAAAATATAGCATCTCTGGAACCAGTTCTAAAAATTTATGGAGACCTTTCTGACCAAATCATACCACTATACATTGTATGTACATCTTTTGCTGGCTTGAAGAGTAGATTTCAGAGACAACCCATCCAAAACTTAAAATAAGAATCATCTTTACAGCTACTGAGTTTCAGAATCAATGCTGAAGAGACATTGTAGGTATTTTGGTAGGTGTATCTGAAGTCAGGCTGACAGAGTTTAAGAGAAAAACAAGATTATAAAACAGAGATCAGAAATGTATAAAGAAAAAGATATGACCATATTGTAAGAAAGGGAGACAGACAGAAGCTTCCTCAAATCTACAGTTTGGTAACACAAAGCTACTCAAAGCCTTGTCTTCTCCTACTACATGCCATTCATGTGATGTTTAAATGAGTAATTTCATTTCTAACAGCCATTTCCTCTTCAGGAATCAGATGTGTAAGGGCTCCTTGCAGATGAATCTAGGTGGAACTCATTACACTGAAGTAAAAAATTGTATGGCTTCAGCATGGACAGAGTGGGTCTGACCAATCTGGTCATCTTCTACAATGGAGTGACTGAAACACCTGACGAGGGAAAAGTGACCAAGGTCATTTACCTAGACTTCTACAAGGTCTTTGACACAATCCCTCACGATATCACTATCTCTAAATTGAAGACAGGAAGATTTGAGGGGTGGACTACTCAGTGGATAAGGAATTGGTTGGAAGGACCAAGCCAGAGAGTTGTGGGAAAGTCTACCTCCAGGCATAGAATGATGTTGAGTGTGCCCCTCAGAAACCTGTCTGGGGACTGGTGCTCTTCAATATCTTCATCAATGACACAAACAGTGAGATCAAGTGCACCTTAAGCACGTTAGCAGATGACACAAGGCTGAAAGGTGTAGCTGACAATACAAAAGGCTGGGATGTCATCCAGAAGGATCAGGAAAAGCCTGAAAGGTGGGCCAATGGGAATCTCATGACATGAAGGTCAGCAAGTCCAAGTGCAAGGTGCTGCACCTGGAATGGGGCAATCCCAGACATGACTACAGACTGGGAAAAGTGACTGAGAGCAGCCCTGCCAAGAAGGACGTGGGGGTTCTGGTGAACAGGAAGCAATATGCACACACAGCCCAGAAGTCCAAATCCATCCTGGGAGACCTCAGTGCAGCCTTTCAGCACATAAAGGGAGCTTATAAAAAAGAGGGAGACTGACATTTTACAAGGGCAGATAGTGATAGGACAAAGGAGAAGGGGGTTTTCAACTAAAACAGGAGAGTTTTAGATTAGATGTTAGGAAGAAATTTTTTACTGTGAGAGTGGTGAGGATGTGAAGGTCAGGCTGCCCAGAGATGCTACAGATGTCCCATTCCTGGAAGTGTTCAAGGCTGGGGTGGGTGGGGCCCTGAGCAAACTGATCTAGTGGATGGCATCCATCCTCATGGCAGGGGATTGGAATAGATGATATTTAAGGTCTTCCAACCAAAACCATTCCAGGATTCTATGACTTGTTTTGAAAAGTATGGACAAAAGAATCCCTAGAAAGACTCATCAAAAGACTTTTTTCTTAAGTCTCACTGATCTTTCATGGTAAATATGAATCTGGTCAACTTAACTGATCCTTACGTAGACAAAATTACTATTTTTTCATCTTCTCACATACAAGCCTGTCTTACCTCATACATGACTTGTCCTGATGTCAGGCGTTTCCTGTCACCAAATGCTAACTGCAACAGATGTAAACTCACAACATCACCTTCACTGAAAAAGGTATAAATGAGAAAATTGGATTACAAAGCTGCTTTACAATCCTCATTAGCATTTTATCAGATCTAGGCTGAAACTAACTCAAGAGCATGCTCTTGCTGAAAAGATAAACACTGCTTCCCAAAACATGGTAATTGGTCACATTAGTCATTAAAACAGAAAGGAGGAAATTTTGACATTAACAGCTTCAGGGGCAAATGCTAACTATGTCTTTGTTTAGAAAGCTCTAATATGCAACATGGAGGAAAAAATTCCTGAATTGCTGGAAATAGCTTTTCACAGTAAAGCATTCTCCATGAAAACTGCTTTTAAGTTGAACTTAAGAAGACTGCCAGTCTAAGAACAGCTGTGCTGATTAAGTAGCTTGCTGATGATGTTTACTGTTCTGCATCTGCAGCCTAAACCACTTTAAAAGGTATTGAATATCATAGTGGGAATACCAAACAAATCTTGAAGCAGTCATCAAGAAACAAGGGAAATCATTTGAGACTGCAAGCACAAAAACATAGCCACTGTTTCCTTTGCCTTCTTGCACAAGGTAGGAAAGAGTCAACCTCTCTTTGCAAATGCAAAATCCTGAAAAAATTGCACTGTAAGCTTAACACTTTTAATTTCCTGCAGAGTTAAAGAAACAAAATGAATACACAGATATCAACCGAATGTGAACAAATATTTAAGAAACAGCGACTTATGGCAGGATTTTATTCACCTTTGTTGTGTAGACTGAACAGCCCACAAGTAGCAACAATTGCGGGGATCATTCTCAGGCTCTTGAAAAGTAACTGCATAGACAGGAATTCTTCCTCCTTCAAGCTGGGAGTGGTGCCTACAGGTTTAAAAGAAAAACATAGAAAAAAGGAGAGCCTGCTGGCTCTGGCTGTTTGTAGAAGGGTAGAAGCATCTTCCGGGAAAAAAGCAGCTTGCATGCCTATCCTCAAAGTACAGATGGTCATACTTCCATTTAAAACAATTGATGACTGACAAACCACTACTTCTTAAGGATTTGTCTTCCCAACTTCTGAATTTCAATTGCACCTTCACAGTCTTTTCTTTGCATCTAATTGTGTGTCCACTGTCTATTTACGCATCCACAACACATACATAGTTTCTGGTGAGGAACTGTAGATTTCCTTAAGTAACACCTATCTGAATGTGGTCACATATTTCAAGTGGCAGATTTCAAATCACCTATAAATTTCACTATTGCTTATAAATGTATGAAACCCTTATTCTGATCTCCAAATCTTTCAAACAAACTTTCATTCACATATGCATCCTGGTCTGGGACCACCAATTTCCATCAAGGCTGAAAAGCAGGAAATAATCTGTTTTCAGGCACAGATCAACTGTTGAATTATCATGTCTCACTAGATCCATCATGGACACTTTAAAGAATATTATCACCAAAATCACATTATCCACACAGTGAAGCCTTTCAGTGGATGCCCTAATTGCAGTAACTGGTTCTGAATAATTTTAAAATCTTTCACGAAAACACACACATTACCTGGGTTCACAAAATACGACTGGACTGAACAGACTTATAAAAATGAGCTCTATCACATCCCTACTGCATGACTTCCTGAAGCAAAAAATTGAGACCCCTGCAATTCCAAGTGCAACCAAGTGGAAAGGACTACTTACTCCCTCTTCAAACTCTTCATATTCCATAGTGACAAGTAGCCATCCGAAAATCCCACAACGAGCTGGTTGCTTCTGCTTATGTAGCACAGGGTTGACACTGCTGTTCCTGAAGGACTTCGTAACTGAAAACAGAGATGCCTCCCTTCCCTGGTCACAGCTTCTCTTCTTTGTGGAACTTCAGCAGGAATTCTAGTCACAACTTCTAGATCTACACACATAAAAGCAGGCAAGAAATTAAGGCATTATGCCTCTTCAGTTGCACTGACGTGATTACACAATCTGTATAATTCTTCAAACAGAACACCCATTTCTGTGCGCCTTTTTGTGCTGTTCCTGTTTCTGCACCCATTCAGAGAACAGAAGGACTCTCCAACGGGACAGGTATTCTCACTCCTATTTCAAAACTGGGTACAAATGAAACCATTGTAGACAAATTCCTCTATTGGGCCTCACCAGGCAGCTACTTGAAGGGACATGAATGTCTGAAGCCACTCTTACAACACCCAAAACAATGTATGCAATCTGAAAACACAAATTGCAGGATTCATTCACCCAAATGCAGGATTTTTGATAAGGCAGATTTCTTGTAAAACACAAGCCTAAAGCCAGTCCCAAGTCGTTAATGGAAACAGGAGAACACTCCCAAGGAATTTGGTACCTCTGACACAACTTCCTATCCCACACCTCCACTGACTCAAATGGAAAAATTCCTACCTCCCACTGGCACGAATCACAGGGACAAAGGGATGTGGGCAGCAAGAGGCCTTCTTAACTTCTGGAGCAGCATTAAGCCACTCCCATTTTTGGATCAGTTCACAACCATACCATGTCAAACTGCTGTCTGCAATGGGCAATGTCAGAAATGCCAGTAGTCAGCCAGCACGCCGGGATCTTCACTGGGATACAAGCTGGCTTTTGAAAAGAAACACATTTTCTTACTTCTAAATTCAAGTTTAAAAACTGCAGCTTACCCGATGCTTCTACTTCATTCTGACTGCAAGATAAATCATCCAAACAAAGGTCAACCAGAAGGACATGGCCAACATCTGTGGCCACTGCTGCCACTCCAAAGAGCCATCGCAGGCTCTGATGCAGGTGCCGCGTGCTCACGCTGGCTCCGCCGTCATTGCTGATGGGTTCGATGGCAGTCACCTGCAGGGAACTCCAGGTTAATAGCAAAGCTCTTTGACAGGCCCCAGAGTAATCCTCAGAAGGGAAGCCACCATTAGCACATCAGAAACAGGAAAGGAAATACACGATGAGACTTCCATGGGAATGAAACATTCCTAGAAAGGGTTGGGGAGAGATGCTGGCTTACTAAAATCTACACTGGTCCTCACTTTGACTAACAATATCCAACAAACATTTTAAATGCACACCAGCACTCTTACAGATGGTAAGGAAAACTGTAAAAGGCAGCCTAAACCAACAGCAAGAGACCAAACAAGAACTTGTTCAGCCTGAGGCACGAGCTCTCTCTCTCTCCCTGACAGGCCGAGCACTCCCCATGACCCCAGCACAAGGTGAACAGACCCCTCAGCACTCATAGCACACCCGGGGCAATAGTGACTGCTCCAGCAGAGACACAAGCACACCAGGGCCCCTGCACTAAAGGAGCAGGACAACACAGGAACAGGGACTATCTTCCAGCCCCTTACACATGCAGAACCATGAAAGCAGACAGCTTGACATCAGCAACAAAGGTTTGTCTGAAACAAAGAAGTGAGCCTCACAAGGTAGTCCATCTTTTTATGTAGCTTATTTACCCCCAGAAGTGGGGGAAAATATCCAAACTCATAGGCCCCCTGAGGTTTTCTTCTCTCCTGTATCAAGCACTTGCTTATAACTGCACTGCCTGGCCACCCGCTTCACAATTCACCTTGAACACAAGAAATCCAAGCTTAGAAGTTTCTTTAGTTATTTAGGAAACTTGGTTTTCTTTCAGATTTCTTATGATTCAAATTAAATTTTTAATCCTCTCTACTGTTCTGAGGACTAATGAAAGTATTTTGATTACTCAGGTTCTTGTGTTCCGAGTGTTGGTGACCGAGGAGGAAATACAGAACACATCTTGCTGCGCAACTAGCCAAGGTAGAAGTGTTGCTTCTGAGTTCTTTTCAAGTTATTTTTTTCATTGTACAACTGGCTCCAAATGAATCTTTACTAGTTTTGCATATGCTTCCAAAATGTTCCCTGGTTACTTCAATTTTCCACGTAGAAGCTCCTGAAATGACATATTTTTCCACTATGCTATGCGCTGCTTTTTCCTATTCTCCTAGTGCTTTGCCAACTCATTCTGGGAAAGAACAAAGAAAACTTTTTTCAGCTCACTGAATCTGAATGCTGCCCTTCTGCCTCATACAAACCAGGAAAATTTGGGGAAATACCACTCAACAGTTCTAAAACATGCAACTGTTATAAACCAATTCAATGTACTTCATGTTTTTAATTCAGAATCCAATTCAAATTATACTCATCAACAGTTTCAGTCTCCTGCTGCATTTCATACACCTATCAAGAGGGCATCAAGAGACACTCACAGACACATGCAAAGACATTATGCCAAAATTCTTTCTAAGCTCCTGAGGTTGGGTTCCTTAACTGATTTCTTTATTCTCTGAACGACTCAACATCCACTCTCACACTAAAAAGCATTCACACAATCACAATAAATACCCTATATTAATACACTAACAACTTGACACCTTGGAGCAGAGCTGCTCTAAGTTAAACTCTACAACTTAGCTGTCCACAGAATTTATACCTGTTGAGAAAATAGTCCTGAAAACACAGTGCTCATTAAAGGTTTAAAAGAGTAATGACCGAACTGCAGAAAGTGATGTTAAGAAAAGACTGATATTTTACCTTTAAAAATAATCAATCTGAAAATCAGAGAAACATTCATGCAAATCAATCCCCCACCAACTATACATTACATAATATGCAAATATATGTTTCTGAAAGAATTCAAAACATATTGTCAGCAGCCAAGTGCAAGTTTTATCCACTAGTTTTTGCTTACCCTTACTCCCGCTTGCAGCCTGAAAGCTAAGACTCCAATTAGCAATACCTGTGTCCTCACTATGCTGACTGAATGCAGTACGAAAGACATAGGAAATACAGCACAAGAACAGACCAAACATACTTGTATTCATGAGCTTTCAGGGCATAAGAGCAAAACTTTCAGAGCAACTTTGGCTTTATTTCAAAGTTCGTACCCTTCATCATCCAACAACCCTTTCCTGCAGGGCTTCATCTCTGCTCCTGAATCAGTTTTTGTGGTATGTAACAACTGTAATACGACTGATTGTTGGAACTGGCTACTATTTCAAAACACTTCCACAGCTACTGATTCAACATGCAACATAATCCTTAGTTCTTAACCTTTGCTTTTCCTAGCTTACTTAGATAGAAGAAATAAAACCTAACACACCAACATCACTTACCAAAACATAATGTACTTATTTTAAGTTCATGTTAGCACACAGCCTGCCTTTCCATCTACAACTCAAGCAGATAGCAAAACAACACACTGGAACACTGATATGACTTGTATCTTTAGAAATTAACATAAATGCTTACTACTACTATCAAGACTTTGACCTGTACTCTAGCAAGTCAAACCAAATAAAGTTAGGTAAAACTCAGTAGTAAATAAGTATTAACTTGTTGCAGATTCTAAGATGATAAAAACACAGTGAATCTTGATATTCTGATAACTTAATCTGATTCTTGCTTCCGTTGTGTTAATAAGACACAGGGACACAACATCATTTGAATTCAAGGGTTACAGAAAGCAGAAAAAATTATCAACATTACACCACTGTATCCCATCTACACGAGCACTATATTCAACAAGCACAGACTCAAGGACTGCAGACTGAAAGTAAATCTGCCAACTATCTGACAGACAATTCACTAAAATCTTTTTTCCAATCGTAAGTTAACAGAAAAATCTGTTCTGTTCCCACATCACCTGCTTCCTAGTCTGAGATTGATGGGCATGTGTCAAAGTCATTAATAGCAAAATGATGGGAGATACTTTAAGGACAGTATTTCTGACAGAAATTAGCCATTTAGAAAAGGTATATTACAGATAATTTAAGTGGGGTTTTCTTTTTTGCTCTGAAAAAAAAGGTTTTCAATGCCTTTTTTTTAAGTGGAGAATTTCATCAGTATGTGCTTTACAATGTTTTTTTTTACTATCAGTAAACTCAAAAGATAATGCAAAGGCTAAGTCCAAGATTTTACATCAAGGCTCTCTTGACTGGATAATCTGAAGTATGTTAATGCAATATAAAAAGGTTAAGTCATACAAAGAGATTCACAAGAGCTTTTCCTGAAACAAGACTATGCAGCACCAAACAACACAAAACCTTCATTTCCCCAAAAAGATACGTACCCTTCCTGGAAGAACAACTGCTTTAACCACTCTTGAGATCCCAAGGTCGTACAGACAGAGAACGCTTCCCTCTGTTTCCTCCAACCCAACCAGGAGTCCAGTCCTCTTCTGCCAAGAGAACTCCTTCACCACGCGGACGGTGGGAGGCTGCTCGTTCACGCCGCTGAAGCGATACGCAGAGAGCCGCTCTCCGCTCACCGAGTTCACCACCTCCAGCTGGGGGCCGCACGCCAGCCACGCCAGGACAGCTCTCACTGGGTCCTCAGCTGCATCCTATTAAATAACTTGGAAATACATGGGCAGCACTTAACAGACCTGTCCCTCTTTCCATTTTTTATTTAGACTGGAGAAGAAAAAGGAGCATATTGTGTCTCTGTAACTATTTCGGCATGCGATGTTATGATGGACATGGAGCTTGAGCTGGTAAAAAGAATACATCCCAAAACAACACTTTCTTCCTTGAAAATTGCCTTCTATTTCATTCAGAACTGAGGAGGGCATGATCAGCTGTATTATTTAAATAGCACAGGACTGGAGCAGGCTGTGGCACTTTCAATGCTTCTAATTGTTAAAATATCCTCCTAGCACTATCAGAACCTGATGCATTTGACTTAACAGAACAACCTGATGCCATGATCCTGTGCTTCAGCCAATAACAACTTCATACCAAATCCAAGTTTAAAGGAAAATGCTCACCTCCAGAAAACTTCCCACACAGTGCAGAGTCTAGGGTGATCTCATCTTCCCCAAGTGCCTCAACAGTCACCTCTGGAAACTGCAGCAGACTGCTCGTTACCTGAGCTGTTAGGTCTCGCATTCTTCACTGGATATAAAGAAAAAAAGGCAAAGAGACTCATGTCAGCCATAAAGATCTTTGAGACTGACCCAAGTTTCATCAGTATGCAGTGACAAATCTCCCATGCATCATTTGTAGCTCTTTTTTGCTCAAAAGAAATGGCACTTGGGACAGTTTTTCATCTCATAGCAGAGCAAAAGGAGAATCTTGAGCTTTTCTGATGCCTAAGAGATCAACAAAAAGTGACACAGAGGGATACACAAGATAAATAACAGGGAAGAGAACAACACAGCAAGTTCAAGCTTACTCATACAGGTTAGCAAGATATGATCTCAGAAAAAATGTATTTGAAAAAGCTTCTAATTGTAGCTCTTACAACTCTCTGCCCTTTCCCTTGATTTAATACATTATTATTTGTTGTCAATTTTCTTCTAGTAGATGTCACAGATCAGCCATGTCTTCTTTACTTTTTGTATGCTTATTTTTGACATTCAAGAATACAACGTTCTTGACCAAATTCATCCTCAAATTCTTCCAGAAAACATACTGGTAATACTTTCAAGCAATACTGACTTCCACAGCTCATCAATTAGAAGTATTTTTACATACACTCAAGAGGTGAACATAACACAACACTTCAAAATATTGTTCTTTTTCTCTGCTGAAATCCTTCTATTTCTTATTCCAGTCCCTTCCTTCCTATTGGCTTTCCTTATTGCATCTCTGCAGTATTAGAGAAAAAATTTCTACACCTCTCAGACAGTTTCATGCTCATACAGGTGCTCCACAAGAGTTCACATTTCAGTATGTCAAGACAATTTTTTTTTCCTGGAGAAACTGAAGAGCTGAACTAATTTACAGGATTAAACAGGTGGCTAAATATGAGATTATCCATATGCATGGAAATACAAATTACTTTAGGTATCTATGTCTTGCAAGTCATCTGGCTTATAGAAAAGGCCTCTGACAGACAAGACAAATTCAACTGTCTTGTTCAAACAGTACTGCTTTTGTCATGACATCTCAAGATGTTATTCACAGGTCACTAGTGCTGGGTTGTGCTCCCGTACCTGCTGCCAGCAGGACACAACGAGCGTGTGAAGCACAGGAGGGGTAAGTCAGGGTCCTGCACTAAGCACAAGTCAACATTTTGACAAAAATGTTGCTGATGGCAAAGCCAGTACTGCAGCCAGCCAGCCAGCCTGACCACTCTGCCAGCATTCACTACTAGCACAGATCAGGTTCCAAGTGGGACAACTCACTTGCAGTAGTTTTCCTGAGTTTCTCTTTTGGTACATGCCATCAGTTTCAAGTGACAACTTCTGCACTGTATCCAGGGACTCCACAGAGAGTAAAAGGCCCCACAATTTGACCAGCATTCTTGCTTCGTTTAGTTGCAATTTAGTGGACATATTTTAGGAGTAACCTACTAATTCAGACACATCTAGTTGATGAACAGCATCTCTGAAATGTTTCAGCGTGTGCTTGTGTTCCTGTCACTGGGCACCACTGGAATGTTCCTGGCTCCATCTGCTTTACACCCTCCATTCACGTATTTACGTGCACTGATGAGAACCCCTGAGCCTTCTCTTCTCCAGGCTGTACAGTCCCAGTCTCCCAGCCTTTTCTCAGAGAAGAGCTTCTCCAATGTCCTCTAACCATCACTGTGGCCCTTCGCTGCACTCTCTCCAGTACCTTCATCTCCCATCTTGAGAGGCTGGTGAGCCTAGAGCTGACACAGCATTCCAGCTGAGGCCTCAGCAGTGCAGTACTAGAGGAAGGATCACCTCTCTTCAGCTGCTGGCAAAGGTTCTTCCCCATGAGCCCAGGCAGGATACCATCAGCCTTCTTTGCTGCAGGGGCACAGTGACAGCTCATGGCCAACCTGAGTGTCCCAGCGCCTTTTCTGTCAAGCTGCTTTCCAGCTGGGCAGGCCCCCGCACACACGGGTGCCTGGGGTGGTTCCTCCCCAGTGCAGGACTTGGCACTTTCCCTTGTTAAACTACATAAGGCTCCTGTCAGCCCATCTCTCCAGCCTGACAGACCACTGACTCTGACAACATTTACTAAGGAATTTTAGAAAAGAGCACAAAATTTCAGAATTATTGGAGCAAATATTTTTTTTTCTTTTTTTGTAAATAAGAATGGAGACGTCTATGTGGCAAGTATATGATTATTAATACCATATACCACAATAATAACAAGACAGTTTTAAGAAAAGAGTGAACAAATATCCTGCAGTAGGGCAGGTAAGAGCATGCAAGGAAACTTCTCAGCTGTGTGCTCTCCATGAGTCACCCTGAGAGGTCCTGCCTGAGACACTGCCCACCCGCTGTGCCAAGAGCACAGAACCTCGCGGGGCTAAACTGGAATCAAATGGAAACATCCTCTACTGGGGAGATCTGAGTTTAAAAAAGAAGCTCCTCACTATCCCAAAAAGAATTCTTCCCTGATAGAAAGCTCATATGTTAACACAGCTTACTCCTGCCCACAACATTAAAAAAATCCATCCACAAACACCAGTAAGAACCATCAAATAAGTAGAACTCCAAGACCTAAACCATTTTTGTAGAAAATGAAAATACTAGAGCATCAGGCATGCTCAGTTTAGCTCCAGTAAGGCAATGACCATTTTAAACACCTCTTCTAGTTGTCAGAAATCAGCCATGGAACAAGGTTGATAAATTTTATAACCAATTATGAACAATATATACTGATCCCTCTATAAGGATGCTATCCTTGCATCATTTTGCTCAGTTAAACCAAGAACTGCTAGGAAATCAAAACAGAGGGGAAACACTTAGATATAAAGGCAAGAAGTCTTTCACCTTTAAGAGATATATTCAACAGCAACTGCATTTCAGCTCTCTTTGAAACAATAACTACAATCACATTCTTATTTCTGGTAGAAATCAGATTAGGGTAAAATGTCACATGCTTACTCAATTTTCAGGAATAAGCCAGAATTCAACCTCCCAGCTGTACCCTATAGCAATGCAGTCTGTGTGCAAGTTGCCAAAATTACCATTCTTTTTCACCCTAGGAACTTCTGACTTCCAAGCACCATGAACTATTTTCAAAGACAGAAATGTCATAAATTTTTGGATTAAAAAGCTTAGGAGTGGGGAGGAGGGAGGAAGGGAAAAGAAAGAGAAAGAGAAATTGTGTGTTCAAGCAGAATTACACATAGCTAAGTCAGAGTTCTGAGATGTGAGTTTTGACTGATTGCATTCCACAAAAATCAGTTTAAAAGGCAAACAATGTTATGGGCTCACTGAAGAAAAAGCTAAAAATACGGTCAGTCACAGCTGAAGACAAGATTTGACAGGACATGTTGACTTCACTGACATCAAAAGAGAGACCTTGCTGCCATCTCTCATCTCTGTATTTGCTCCTTTGTTCTACTACTGTATTTTGGAAGACATTTCCAGCATACCACACTGGTATGCCATCCCACTGCTGGCCCTTCCCAGCACAAATTCCAGAATCACATCAAAGAGGAAGATCTGCCAGAATCACACACAGTCACCTCTTCTAAACACACTGCTGGAGCCACCACCTAGAGCAAGCTGCCCAAGGCTGTATCCAGATGGATTTGGAACATTTAATTCTTCAACAGGTTTTTATAACCAGCAACCTGACAAGACCAACTACAGAAACACCTGCAACCCATGCAACAGGGTGACTCTCTCTTGCCAATTTAAAGATTCTATTCTCTCCACCAAACCAGCGTCACACCACGAAAGGCCTGTCACCACTGCTCCTCCAAAACTATGTCCAACACCTTATTAAGAAGATGTAAAATTCATAGAAGCTTGATCACGCTTGAAAAAGATAATCCCAGGCAAATCCATGCAGGAAGGAGAGCTGAGGCAGCACGTGAATGAGGAGCTGTCCTCCCCAAGATACAGAGCTGAGTGCCCAAGCGCATGGGACAGCTGCCAGCCAAGGCTGACACAACCAGCCAGACCCACGGGCCCTGCAAAGGCACCTGCACGGCCACTCAGCCCTATATCCCAAACGGGGTGCAGCCATCCCGACACAAACCGGTCCCTCAGTTTCCTCCAATTTCCCCAGACACGATCAGGAAGCAATCGTTAGACCCGAAAGACTGACACCAAGCATTCTATTGGCAGAAGCTCCAGACGTGGACTCACAGTTTATTAAGGAAGACACCGAGCACTTTTGTTTAAGCCAGCAGCAACTCTGCTTCGTGATGCTTTGCTTCGTGCAAAGACCCAGAGACCCCCACAAATCGCACTGGATCCTTCTAAAGCTGTGGCCTTCCCACTGCACCCATCCCACGTCCCGCAATCGCCTCTCTACGAACGGAGCGCATTTCCCGCCTCCTCATGGAATACAACCCCGAAGCCCGGCGGGGGAGGGGAAGGAGGAATTAGAAAAAAGTAAAGAAAAACCCTCCAGAAACACGACCGAAGGGGCGAAAACAGAGGGCGTGCGCGGGTGGTCGGGCAGGAGGGAAAGCTCCTGGCGGCAGCCGCCGCATCTCCCACGCCCCCCAGCCTGACGGAGCCTCCCGGCTGCGGAGCCTCCCATGTGCGCTGCCCAGGCCGCGCCGCCCGGGCCTCCCCCGCCGCCGGGGGCCGGGCACGTGTGGCGGACACGGCGCAGCAGCCCGGGGGTCACTTACATAAGGGACGGGCGGCCGGGCCCGCCCGAGGCCCCCGCGGGCCCGCGCTGCGCCAGCGCCGGTGCCGGCCTATGCGGCTCGGGAGCGCCCGGTACCCGCTGGTACGATGGGGGAAGAAAGAAAGGGAGGAACGAAGGCAGACGGGCGGGCGGGGGTCGCCGTTGCCGCCACCTCCGCCCGTGCGCGCCGCTGCCCCCAGCCCAGCCGAGCCCGCACTCCCGGTACGTGCCGGTGCCGGTGCCGGTGGCATCTCCCTCCCGCAGCGGCGACAACGGCACGGCCTGGCCCGGCCCGCGCGCCCGCGCACCCACCTCGCTCGCTCACCCGCCGCGCGGGGGGCGGGTCGGGATGGGGGGGGACGGGCCGACTTCTCGCGAGACCCGCAGCGACCCTCCGCGGGAATTTTCAAATGCGCGGGACACGGCCCCGGGCGCTGGCGGTGATGGCCTCCGGACTGCGGATCCCGGCGTGCCGCGCGGCGGCCGCTTCCGCTCCCGCCCGCGCCCCTGTGGCCGCTGTCTGTCGCGGGGCACGCCGGGAGCTGTAGTTCCTGGGCCGGAGGGACGGGCGCCCCGCAGAGCGCAGCTCGTGGGGACGGCTGTGCTCTGCTGCCCCGCCGTGGGGAACCGCCGGCTGGGGGAGAGCTGGCCCGGCCTACCGGTGTCCGTCCCACCGCAGGAGCCACTCCTCCCCCTTCCCCCCGCGGTCTGTCTGGATTTCATTGAATCGCTGAATGGTTTGGGTTGGAAGGGACTTTAAAGATGATCGAGTTACAGCCCCCCTGCCACGCGTGGGGACACCTCCCACTTGGACCAGGTTGCTCAAAGCCCTTTTCAGCCTGGCCTTGAACATTCCAGGAATGGAGCATCCACAGCTTCTCTGGGCAGCCTGTTTCAGGGCCTCGTCACCCTCACAGTAAAAAACTTCCTCCTACCATCTAATCTAAACCTACACTCTTAGTTTCGATCCATTCCCCCTTCCCCTGTCATGCTCTCATAAAAAAGTCCCTGTCCATCTTTCTTGTCGGCTCCCTTCAGGTACTGGAAGGCCAGTCATTAGGTCACCCATTTAAAAGGATTTAAAGGGGTAGGCTATTTAGCTACAGTTTTCCTCTTAATTTTAATAAGAAATTGTATGTAAAAACCCAACAAATTAATTTATAATTAATGTTACACTGTTAGTCGCTGAAAGGAGAGAAAGTAAGTATTAAGTCAAAGGTGCAAGTCTAATGCTACTCCTTTCAGTGTATATATTTTAATGTGGTCAAAATATTCTTTGACTTTAAAAAAATATTTTCAGGTATTACTAAACAAATAGTATAGTGGAAGGCATCCCTGCCCATGGCAGGGGTGTTGGAACAAGATGACCTTTAAAGTCCTTTCCAACCCAAGCCATTCTATGATTCTATGAAATTTGCAATGCTTCTAAGAAGTGGCAGCATCATCAAAGGGATGGCAAAGGCATTTAATTTCTCCCAGCATACATTATCCCTAAATTACAGCTATGCCTCTTAATGCAGAGTCACCATTCTTTATACTATTATGCAAATCTTTTTTGTGACTTGGTGGCTGCTGTTGCCACTTGAGATCTATTAATTTGTATTGTACAAGAGCACAGGTCACGGAGAAGGAAGCCACCATGCCAGGGGTGTCAGTGAGACAGTATTTGCCTGCAGAGAAGGAAGCCTGGCCCTGGTGGTGACCAGCTGATGGGTGATGGCAGAGCTGAGTGTTACACACGAGAGGCTGTGCGTGAGAGAGACAGATCTGGGGTGGGCTACGGAAGGGCTCAAAAACGAGGACAAGCGGCTCTCATCTGATGAGACAGGGAGTAGGGAGCTAAGGGAGGCATGCAAAGATAGGCATGGCAGCATGGGAGGACCAGCCAGATCCATATCCTTTGCAAAGACATGTAGAGTGATTGTGTGCAGGACAGGGCTGCATTTATTGAGGGAAGGACAAGTGCTTTGGCAGTAAGTGCAATTCAAAGTGGCAATTCAGTGTGGATGACAACCTTAGCTCCACACATGAAGACAGAAGGGCTTTGTGTCAGCAATTATTTGTGGAACACAGCTTTCAAGGTTTGGGTATGATCTGAATAAGGACAGGAGGAGAAGGCTGGACCAAGGCTGTCCCCCCTGTCATGGGCATAAGTGAACATTGGCCTAAACAGCAGCTGAGGGCCCGTGGGATGAAGTGGGCTGGCTTAGCCAAGCTTGAGCTTCAACTGACAGCAAGGCTTATCTGAGCAGGCATCAGGGAGCTGAGCAAGAATGTGCTTGGAAAAAAGGGTCTGCGACTCATCTTGCCCAGTTTTAAGTGTCTACGGTACAGTCATCAATCCATTCAGCTGGACTCCCTTTTTAGATGGGGAAAGGAAACAGCTTTTTCCTGAGTGCCTGTCCTGGCTGGCTCTATTTACCTCCTATAGGATTAGCTGTAACGGGAGCCTAGATGGAGCTGTACCCTTTTACTTTTGGTTGGGTTGATCTCTCTTTTAGAGATTAATCTGAATAGAGCACTGGGTTTTTAAGCTGCTTGGCAGGTGAATTTATGTTTGTGGTAGGGATTACATGGAGATAAGGCATAGAAGAGAAAGAGGACAAGAACACAATTTTATACCACCCATTCTAGAGTCTGGAGAGCAAAATAAAGAGGAGTCTCCAAAAGGCATGGTGGTCAAGCGAGGGAAGGGAAAGGGGAGGGCAGAGCTTTGAATGACAGAGGGAATAACCTCTCAGGGAGAGCTGACTTGTGGCAAATGCCTGACAGGTGGTGGGAGACGGAGGGGAGAGCTGGAGCTGCCTAAGAGGAGGTCATTTTGAGGCTTCCACAAAAACAGTGCTGACTGAATGTGGGGGCAGCGGCCCGATGAGGGAGGAGGAGTTTCATGAGGAAGAGTTCAGCCTTTCACTGAGCTTACAAAGCAAAGAGAATAGAGGTGCATATTTGTACTGGGTTTGTGTGGCCAGGTTTTGGTAGTGGAGGAGCCTCAAGGCTGCCTTCTGTGAGAAGCTGCCAGAAGCTTCCCCTGTGTCCAACAGAGCCAATGCCTGGAAGCTCCAAGACAGACCTGCCGCCTGCTAAGGCCAGGCTCATAGCAATGGTGGTACTCCTATGGGGTAACAGATTTAAGAAAGTAAGAAAAAGTGCAATTGCAGCCAGAGACAGGAGTGAGAATATGTGAGGGGAACACCAAGGTCAGTGCAGAAGGAGGAGGATGAGATGCTTCTGTCACTGGAGAAGAGATTCCCCTGCAGCCCGTGGTGAAGACCATGATGAGGCAGCTGTCCCCATGCAGTCCCCTGTGGTTCATGCCAGAGCAGGTGGATGCCCAAAAGCAGGCTGTGACCCTGTGGGAAACCCACACTGGAATAGGCTCCTGGCAGGACCTGTGGACCCCATGGAGAGAAGAGCCCACACTGGAGCAGGTTTGCTGGCAGGACTTGTGATCCCACAGGGAACCTATGCTGGAGCAGCCTGTTCCTGAAGGCCTGCACCCCTTGGAAAGGGACCCACGCTGGAGCAGTTCATGAAGCACTGCAACCCATTAGAAGGATTCCCATTGGAGAAGCTTGTGGAGGACTGTCTCTGGAAAGGAATCCACACTGGAGCAGGGGATCAGTGAAGTGTCCTTCCCTTGAGGAGGATGGAGCAGCAGAGAAAATGCGTGCTTAATTGGCTGCAACCCCCCTTCCCCATTCCTCTGTGCTGCAGAAAGGGGAGAAGGTAGAGAAAATCAGGAGTGAAGCTGAACCCAGGAAGATAGGAGGGATGTTTTAATATTTAGCTTTTATTTCTCATTGTCTCACTCTGATACAATTTTTAAGAAATTAAATTGCTTTTCGCTGAATCGAGTCTCTTTTGCCCATGACAGTGCCTGGTGAGTGATCTCTCCCTGTCTTGAGCTTTCATGAGCTTTCATTATATTTTCTCTCCCCTGTCCAGCTGAGGAGGGGAATGATGGAGGAGTTGGTGGCTTGTAAACAATAGGAGTATTAATAGTTGCATTTATTGAAATGAGAAAGAGCCAGAGAAGAGTGAGCAATTAATAAGGTAAAATGAGCATGAGGCAATTAAGGAGATGAGAGAAAGTGGAACCAAGAGCAAGAAAAGGAGTAGGATGGCAAAACCAAAGAAGAGAGCTCTGTGCCCGTGGTACCAGCAAAGACTGGGAGTGAGATAAGTGGAAGTGGATTTGAGATGCAGGGATTGCAAAGTCCAAACACAGGAAGAAAGCAGTGAGATTTTGTGCAAACAGAGAAGGAAGCAGGAAGGAAGATGCAGCAAAGAGGGAAGATGCTGCAGCTGAAAATTAATGCAAAGTGTATGCAAATGGAAAATGTTCAGCTGAGCTGGAAAAATTAAGCTGCTTGGTGTACCAGATATCATCAGGTTTCATGCAGTTAAGATTGTTGAAAACCTGGTGGACAAGCTCTATTAGAAAGCTGATGTTCTTACTCAGCTAAGTTAATGACTGCCAAGTCCAATTGTTAAGGCTGGGTTGGGAACCAGTGCAGTCACAGCTGCAGCAGCACAGCAGCTCTGGAGCTCCGCAGACTCAGGCACCAATTCTGCTGCTGTACAGCTGGGGGTGGCTGGACACCGGGTCCTGATGCACCCATGGGGATACCTGGCCCTGGCAATACCCCTTCCCAGAGAATTGGGAAGCCTGGAACACAGTGCTGGGTGCAAGGAAGGGCTCCGGCACTGTTGCCTTCCCCGCTGAGTCAGACTGTCTGCTCTGGGAAAGCTGGGAGAAGACCCCAAAAGCAGTTTTTGAATTACCGGGAGCTGCAGGTGGGGTTTGGGCTCCCCAGTGATGTCCTGGGCAGCACAACTTTTCTTCCAGGTCAATAAGTCGATATCTGTTTATGGGTGAGATGCACGAGCACTCTGCTGCTTTGTGCTGCCCCAGCACTGGGGTGTGCCTGTTGTTTTAGTGTATCCAGTTGTCATCCACTTTTACTTTTGTGTTGCATTCTAGTATCTGTGATTCTGCCTCAAAAAGTTAAAATGGAAGGTGCTGCATGCTTGATAATATTTTTTGAAAATCATTATGAAGAGCGTGCAGTGGCATCCTCTACAAACACTTCTTGGTCCTCGTGGTGTGGCATTTTCAGTAAGCTATACCAAAAGTAAGCAAATACTGAGATGAAGAAAGCCCTGTGTTAAAATGAAGGTCGTAGTGTTGGCATGTATCAGGGGTGGAAAGGTGAAACAAAGAAGATGATGCTGCAGTGGTGTAATGATTATTTTCAAGCACAGGATTGTTTATACAGACAGGATGCTTAGCAATGTTGTTACACTTATCCAAATTACAAGGGTACAATTTTAAAAACAAGGAATTAAATACTGCCTTTCAGTAATTACACAGAAGGAATCTATTTTGACGGTGTATGTGGTGTTTTTAAAGCCAAATATTAAAAAGACTCAGACACAAAGGACAGGTGTTTGGGCTTTTTGAGAGGT